GATGTTTTCACGATCGGGAAATCACACAAGACGTGAGCTGCTGACCGTGAGCTGTTATCACAGAGAGGGCAGGCATGCACTCTCTACTTAATGATAGACGCGCGCGCGTCTACTTTAGTGAACAGAACCTGCATATGTTGCGAGTAACAGGTAATACAGTTGTAAATAATATTCAGTTTGTGGCACAGAGTGATCGTTTGGGAGCCAAGCGAAGTATGAACAAGCACTTAGCAGTCAAAATGAAACTGAAAGTGTGCACTTCATTTAAATGATCATATTGCATTTTAGAGTTATGATTACGTCGAGCATTTGATATGTTTTTTCTTTCATAGCGAACACACAGTTGTGCATGAAAATAAATGTTTACAATGTCAGTATAGCTACTCTAGCCTATATATTGTTGTTGAATATAATCTGATAATGGCAAATGTCTGATTTTTTTATGACCGATTGCAAGCATATATCTTAAACATAATAATTCAACATCATAATTATTATAAGTAGAATAGAATTATTTATAAAAACCAGTAGACCACATAATATTATTATTGATACGATTATAATTTTAGCCAGAATCGTGCAGCTCTAAATTGCACTTATCTAATACAGTCTAAAGACCTACTTTTGCTAGAAATTCTACCATTTTAAAGGATCTACAGTTAAGAGTATTTCCATTAAAGACCAAAACAAAGCTGTTGGTTTTTATATGACCATATAATGAAAATATGTTATAAAATGTTTATTTAAGCACAATTTTATATTCAGTTCTATTTCAAGTTGCAATAAAAGTTTTTTCTATTTTAATTAGTAAAAACTGCATTGTTATTTCTGATGTTTTTTAATATTTGTATTGTTTGTAGATGTGAGAAGTGTGTATGTATGTATAATTTAATCCTGGATTAACATCTATGTTGATCCTGGAACATCATTTTTGTTGGTAATCCATACCTATTCCCGACCTCTAAACCCAATCATAACTGTAAATGATTCCTAAAATCAGAGGGGAATAATATTTGGATAACAATCATGTACTGTAGAAGTGGATAAACCTAACCGTAAGCCTAAACTTAACATAAACAACAAACGTATCCCTCAATTCTGATTGGCTGATTGGAATGTTGTTCCAATATAGATGTTAATCCAAGGCAAGTTTATTTATATAGCACATTTCATACACAGTGGCAATTCAAAGCGCTTTATATAAACAGGAATAAAAGAGACAAGTGTAAGAAAAGATAAACAAATAATAAGAATTATAAAAATAAGAATAAAAAATAGATAAAACACATAAAAATTTGTTAAAATAGGTTATAAGATAATGAAAAAGAAAACAAAGACATAATAGTGCAATCTGTCGGACGCAGCACAGTGCTCATTCAGTAAAGGCACAGCTAAACAGATGTGTTTTCAGTCTTGATTTGAATGTGCCTAATGTTGGAGCACATCTGATCATTTCTGGAAGCTGATTCCAGCAGCAGGGGGCGCTGTTAGTTGCTGAAAGTTCACAGGTGTCAAACTCAATTCCAAAAGGGCCGCAGCTCTGCACAGTTTAGTTCCAACCCTAATTAAACACACCTGATCAAACTAATTGAGTCCTTCAGGCTTGTTTGAAACCTACAGGTAAGTGTGTTGAAGCAGAGTTGGAACTAAACTGTGCAGGGCTTTGGCCCTCCAAGAATTGAGTTTGACACCCCTGCTCTTGTTCATATGATCCTAAAGATCTGAGTGATCTGTTGGGTTTGTATTCAGTGAGCATGTCTGTAATGTACTGAGCTCCTAGGCCATTTAGTGATTTATAGACCAGTAATAATACTTTAAACTCTATTCTGAATGTAACTAATCCAGGAACATGTCCTACTTGGTGAAATCAGGTTGGTTTTGTGTGTGTGTTTATACCTGGAGCTGCCTCGATGAACAGAACCTCACACAGGTTCCAGATCAGCTCGATGGCAAGGAGAATAGAGACCTAGAGAGATCACAGCAACACTTATGAAGGCAACAGAATATTCTGACTTCAGTATGTCCATCAGAATTGCTCTTTATTTATTTATTTATTTAATTGCATTCATTTCCACATTTACTTATTGATATATAATAAGTAGCTTTTTCACATTTGATACACTAAACAATAAACAGAATTTAAGGTCACGCTTGATTTTGATGGTGTTTGTTGAATTTAGTTACGTTGCTTCTACATGCCAACAAGTAGACTGTTAGGTTGGGGTTAGGGTTAGTGTAAGTTGACATGTACTTGCAAAGTTTCTTATAGTCAGTTAAATGTCTGTTTAGATTCAGTATCAGCAGATATTAAGCAGACAGTCTACTAACACTCAAATGCACCATCAAAATAAAGTGTTACCGAATTAAAATAAAGTAAATAAAATTAAGCTCTCAAAGAGAGTGTGGCAAAAAAAAATAACAATAATAATTGGTATGTAATCAAAGTAATATCTGATGTCCATCTGAGTTCATTAAACTCTAAAGTTACTTTATTACTCACATTTTTACCTGTTTAATACATTTATTTGTTTAACTGTGTAGCTCATGTGACGAGTCTCTTAGACCAACCCACTGATCAGCTGAAGCGGGAAGGACAGAGACTCATCTGCGCAATTGGGAACACCTGATTTCGCCTCTATAAAAAGCCAGCAGTGTTTGCTTGGAGAGAAGCTGTGCTTTTGCTCCTGTTTGCTTTGTTTTGTTTCTTTTCAGCTTTGGTTAATCTTTGATTTGGCTAACCTAAAATGAGCACTTTATTATTCTTTAATGTTTAAATAAGTACTTTTGGTACCAAACCATCCGGTGTATGTCCTCCCTTTAGTTTTGTCATTGCCTTTGAGCCGGGTCGTGACACTCATGTATTGTTAATAATGAAGCATTCTGAATGCATGAATGTTTTCATTGTTAAAGCCTAAAATATTTACAAAACATCAAAATTGTGTCATCAGAATGCATGCACATCATATTTAGTCAAATTTAATTTCTCACTTAGTTCTACTAAATATTATGCATAATCAATATTTTCCAGAAAGCATGTATATCATGTTTCATGTCTCATCTAAAACAATTAGAACTGTTTTTTAACAGTACATTACTACTGAATTTAGTTACATTTTGAATTGCTTAATATAATTTTTACTTTTATTAATTTCCAACTAGTAATACATGTTGTTTTGGTTTTTATTTCTAATATTTTCAATTCGCTTTTTCTTATTGCAGTTTTAAATGAAATTACAACATTTAAATTAATGCAGAATCTAATATTTCTATTTTATCACAGTTTGCTTTTACTTTCATTTTTTCATAGAGTATTTATAACTTTCAAAAGTACTTTTACTTCACAATATATTTGCTTAGAATAAAACTGATGGAACAATTGTCCTTTTATTTCAATATTAAACAAATCCAAAACATATAATGGTATTAAAACCACGTTATGGGTTTGGTATAGGCATGGGACGATAACCGATTGCAAGGTTTATCGTGGTTTGGAAAAGTTAAGGTTTTAAAACCGCCAAAGTTTTCTAAAATATCGATCCTAAGGTTTTTTTGTTTTTAACATTATAAATTTTTTAGAGCAACTGTATCTCCATCAGAAAAGAATACCTCCACATTAAAAACTACTGGTCCAAAATATTTTAAATGTTTCTTAAAATAAAATAAATTGTGTTCAACATGTGAAAAAAGTTGCAGCTTTTTACCTAGATATTTAAAAATAACTTATTTCTGAGCAGTAATCACAATACCGTGTGATACCATGATATTTTAAGCAAGGTTATCATACCTTCAGAATCTTTTACCGGCTCAAGCCTACTTTGGAAGCATGTTTAATTAACAGTACCTGATCTCCATACTGCGATGCTAAAGATCCATCTTGTGCTGTAACTGGAAAGAGAATGAGAGTGTGATCAGCTGATTGAACAACCCAGGCTCATTGTGGAAACGTAGTCCCGCGGACGTTTCTGGAGACCTCGGAATAACGTCCCGGGAGGTACGTACGGCTGCAGTTTTTGTTTTTGCGAATCCGCCAGAGGCCGCTGTTGTGCGCTTTTTCGCACCTCAGACGCCTCTCGCGAGTGCGGTTTGCACCCGCGCTGTTCTCGCGTGAACCCACCGGAGGCCGCTGTTCGACTGAACGCATGATTGACTGCGCGACCGGCCAATCGGCCGACCCGCCCTCCTCCTTCCCTGAACCCAACCAATTTTACCGATCGACCCTCCTGCCCGCCCGCTCGCTTCCCTAAACCAGAGCAACAATTTACAAAAGCCGTCCAAAAAAATAAAAGCCCCGATTTTTTTTTTCTACCACGCTTTCGGATTTCACCGCGTTCTCACCCGGTCACGAAACTCGTTCACTTAATTTTTGGGGTTCTGTTTTTGTCTTACCTGATTGCTGGAACCGCTTTTCCCCGGACTCGAAACCGGTCGCCGTTGTCGACTCCTCTCTGCATCTCGAGCGTGCCGACATACACGCTGAGCTGAGTGGACAAACGGGTTGCAGCGGGGAAGCCCTCCACAAGGAGGTAAGGCAAGCGTGAAAGGGAACAGCGTCACACCGCCCCGCAGCGTTCGCTTGAAAAAAATAAACGCGGCCGTACGTACCCCCCAGGACGTATTCCGTTGTCTCTAGAAACGGGACTACGTTTTCAGAATGAGCTTGGGTTGTGATTGAACGCATCATCATCATCATCTCATATGTTGTGTTTAAGGTTTACCTGCGTTCTGCTGGAGCTCCTCCATACAGGCTCTGATCACAGACCTGTAGTTCCTGCTGATGCTCACAAACCTGCAGCACACAGCAGCACATCGCACTACAGTCAATAAAGGTGCTGTATGTACGTTTGTGACTCTTCTAAATCATAAAAACACCATAGTATGCTTGCAGATATTTCAGAAACATGCTAAGTGAACATTCTTGTTTATCTGAAAAACAACACTAAAGTTTGCTCTGAGAATGCGTGTTCCGTTTTGGAATGTCTGTGTTTGTTTTGATCTCTATAACCAGTAGGGGTGTAACGATACACTCAGCTCACGATACGATGTGTATCACGATATAGTGTTCACGATTCGACATGTATCACGATATTTGGAATAAAAATGTAAAATTAAACTGAAATGCAAATTTTATTTTTAAAAAATTTAATTACCAAGTAAACTATTTTTTATGTATTGCTTTTGTTTCAACTTGTTAAACTGAACCTTCTTTAAATAAATAAATTAAACAGGCCTGTCTCTGGAAAATAAAACAATTTAAAAACTTCTTATAAAATATTATTGAAATGATTCAATTCAATTGAATTTAACAGTAAGAACTTAAGGCTTTGCTTGGTCACTTGCGTTTTTTGTGTGTGCAAAAAAAATCTACATTTCCAGGTAATCAGCAGTTCTATAAGATAATCCTGAACTGATGTGTGTCTGTCTGAGAGGTTTTTGTGGATGGCTGTCTTCATGTTGGGCATGATGAGTGACAGGGTGGCCGTCTTTTCATTACACAGGACAGTCGTGGCTCTTTTCAGCAGTTTAGGCAGGTTTACTATTTCTTCGGCGTCGCTGATGTCGGCGCTATCAAGTGTATCATGTTGACGTGCATTTTTGTGTACCTCTATACTCCAAAGAGTTCATGCTCGTCGTAATCATAACTCTAAAATGCGATATGATTATTTAAATAATGTGCACGCTTTCGGTTTCATTTCCACTGCTAAGTGCTGTTCATACTTCCCACGCGGCTCCTGAACGATCACTCTGTTCCACAAACTGAATGTTGTTCACTACTTTATTACCTGTTAGTCACAACCTGCAGGTTCTGTTCACTGAAGCAGACGCACGCGCATCTATCATAGTCCACACTCTGTAGTAACAGCTCACGGTCAGCTCACGTCATGTGTGATTTTGCGGCCGCCAATACATTATTATATGAAGACAGAATGATATTTTAGGGTGAATTGTACCTTATAAATACAGTATGTGACTCTTTTAACACCATTAGGAGGTTTCCATGTCGCTGTGCAAAGTATGTAAATCACTGTGAAGACTTTAAAACTTAGGATGTTTGACCCAGTATGCGTGTCAAAAAGCGGACGAGTCTAAAGCAATGACTGTACAACCGAAATGTTGCCAGACGTCTGATTTTGAGAGGATGGGCCATCCTCTATTTCAGCTCCACTCATCTTGGTCTGCTAACATTACTGCTGCTGCAATCTGAACTCACGTGCGACAGCAGGTGGAACGTAGCTCACGTGCAAACAGGTCAACTATTAAGAGAAAACGGATGTCATATCGTAATCAAATCGTCATAACGCCACGATGCATATTGTGACATTTTTGCATCGCAATAAATCAAACAACGATAAATCGTTACACCCCTAATAACCAGCCCACTGCCAGTTTAACTGATTATATTGCAGCACTCTGGGTTGCCTTGGTGAGAAACGGTTTATTTAATTTCCTCAATATATGCGGACGCAGATAAAACTACAATCTCTGGAGGAGAGCAGCAGCCTCCAAAATGACAAGCAGATTCTGAGTAATAAAAATACATTATGTGGTTTTTAATTAGTAAACAATATCAATATTATAAACATTAGCTGATCAGCTTACAGTGTAAAGTTCAATCTTCAGGCATGCTAGCTCCTGTTTGTACTGTCATAGGAGAAAACCCTCTCCAATATTTTGAATTTGCACTGCCATACCTAGTGGAACCACTCGGTGTCAATCCTACACACTGAATTATTGTTTAGATTTGTAACTCTTGTGTATTGTTCAAATTGACAACCCTTTCCTTATGTTTAAGGCTGTTTTTACCCTATTGACTTCCATTAAAACGACATTTTTTTGATTGCAAAACCTGATTGTTGCTGTTTTTTGATGGGAAGTAGGGTTTTGCCAATAGACAATAATAGTGTGTATCGACAATAGGCAAAGATATCACCGAGAGCTGAGACCTATGTCGATTTTAAAGATGATAATTAGCTCGTTTCGCATCAATGTAGACCCATTACATGTTTTACTTACATTATTGAATAAAATTAATAGTTTTATTATTAATAAAGAAAACAATAAACACAGATATCATGTGCATTAACCACTGGGCAATCAGTCAGACACACACACTGCGCCTTTACCCTGTCCCGCACACTGTGTCTCATGCATGAGGACTCACTGCGTCTTCTTGTTTTTGCTGGGCGCGTCCTCTTTAATCTTCTGCAGCCCCATGAAGATGAGATGCGACTCGTTGAAGAGCTTGCGCAGGATGGGGGAGCAGATGTCCTCATCCTTCCTCACCATGTGCACCAGCGGAGAGCCTGCAGAGCTCGAACCTGAACACAGAAACACCCCTCAGGACTAGGATGGGTTTTTATTTCATGTTCCTCACACACACACTAATAATACATACAGTACATTAACACAAACACATATGTACACACACTTTACATACATGAGAATCACAGGGAAAAAGGAATATCAATCTCTACAATTAAGGCTGGGCGATTAAGCAAAAAAAAAAATCTAGGTTTTTTATAAAGTTTGACCGATTCACGATTTCGATTTTTTTTTTATTGTGTTTGTTGTAAAAAAATAAATGAGTGAAAAAGAAGAGAGAACCCAGTCCAGGAGACTCGAAACAAGCAGGATTCCTTTATTGAGACGTGTTGGTTAATCTGCAGTCTTACAGCGTCTTTAAGATGTCCATGTGTCTGCAAGAGCCTACTAGAGGTCCACAGTCTGCAAGTTCTTTCACAAGTCTCTCACAAGTCTCACACAAGTCAGAAAATAGTCTGAATTAAGACAAAGATTTCATGTCTATATTGTGTTCTTAGGAGGAGGGGATTTGGCTAAACAAAGCATGCAAATTAAGAGTTGTGGTCGGCAGGGTAAACTGCTTTTTCAGTTCTAATCTCATCATGTTCTGGAGACAGAAACCGCCTGACCAGTTGATTGAAAAGAGAAAACAATAGACACCCCATGCTGTTAAACTGATAATTGCATCACTTTGGCTTAAGCCTGATTTATACTTCTGCGTCAGGTGACCGGCGTAACCCACGGCGCAGGCAACGCGCGTGGCTGTGCATTTATACTTCTGCGCGCTGTCTCTGCCGGTCTGCATTAACACTTCCGAAACGCTAGTTGGCAGTGAGGTGTAAATGTTCCTCTGTGTCGAGTTTCTTCGCTACTTTTTTGCATTTCCTGAACACTTCCGGGATGTACAAGTGGCTCAAACTCGCTCATTTTGAGGCAGGAACCGGCGGACGTGCAACAACTTTAACTATGAGGTAAACACAAAACAAAACTTTCCATCCGGAGCTCCTTCACGGGACTCCACACTTGTAAACAATCGCTCGCGCGGCGTCGCGCCATTCGCGCGCCTCTCGGTCCCGCCCAGACTCGTCAGCGCTACCAAGCCGACCAATCACAGAGCTTATGCTACGCGTCGTTGCGACGTGTAGTTACATTTTTTGAGAGGTGCACGTCAGTGACGGCGATGGCCACGGCGAAGGGCTATGCGTCAGCGCCGTAGCATACGCCGGTGTTTGACGCAGAAGTATAAATCAGGCTTTAGTCTGTAGTCAGCAAGGCAAAGGTTAAATGACCCTCCTAGCTGGCATGTCGATGAAATATAATAATTAAAAACCAGAGAATATAACTTTTTAGTTATACATAGATTATTGTTAATTTGAAATTAGATGATATAAATTTATATTTCCACAGTTACTAGTCTTCTCAAAACATTACAACAACATGACTGAAGTAACAGTCTCTTTAAAAGTAACTTGAAAAACCATCTGGTAAGGAACATTGTATTTTTAATGGCCATGCTATACAAACATCGGTCAAGGTGTAAATAAATGTAAAACAAATTCACAAGTTAAATAGCGTTCCTGAAGATTTGAATAAGAGATATTTGTGTAAATATTGCAGTTGCAGGAATACAGAGGTATTTTTTGCAAGTTTTGCTGAGCCTAGGAAAGATTGTCTGTCAGCTCGGCTTTGACTTTGTCTTCTGATTGAATGAGAGGTTGTAATGCTGCTGCCTTTTTCTTAAAAAGATACAGTGGAAGAAAAATGACTGAACATGGAAAAATCTATTGTTCTTTTTTCCCCTTTTAAATATGGATCATTTGATGCGCTTTGCTCCACTCTCTGTATTATGCTGCCTGATCTATCTGGTTTTCAACTAGGTCCGCTAAATGACGTCACGGACGCGGCTACTTTCATTTTCACTGCTACAGTCCCTCACCTCTACTAGTGTTCAAACCAAAAGATCGGCACGGTTTTTCACATGGCAGGCTTTTACGTCTTTCATACATGTTCGAGTTTATCGACTTGATGAGGAAATGTCTTGCAGGGTTTAACGCTAAGATTTTTTCTACTGGCCCAATCGGACCAGTGGTTCAGATTTTTACTTGCCCTGCCAATATTTTCACTGGCCCCACCAAAAAAAAGTTAATAGCTATTTCTTAGCCACAAATAAAAAAAAATGTCAAAATGTTTGTAAATATAGAATTTTAATACAGGGTCTCTGCAGATATCATAATGTCAAATTTAAGACCTTTTAAGACCTTTTTAAGACCATTAAGTATTAAATTTAAGACCTATATCGCAATATCAAAAACATGCGAGAGAAAATGTAAAAGCACAAAATTAGGGGTAAAATAAAGTTATTTAAATTTCGCTCTCTTGCATTACAGCGCTCCCGACTTATAAAACTGCGCTTGCGACATTTGTCAGTGAAATAACGGCATACTCTGTCAGCCGAAATCATGTCGCGCGCACTCAAAGCGAACTTCCGCAAGCACAGCGATGACGTCACATTCGCCGCGCGCACTGAGTTTAATAACAAAAAGCTGATTGGCTATTGCAAGCTGACTTTTTTGTAGTTGTAATACCGCAAATTACAATTGGACTAGTGAAATAATGAACTACAACACCACAAAAACCTAGCAACAACAACAAAAATAATTTAAATGAGCATTAGATGTAGCGTTACATGGACATCGCAAAAATAAGACCTGTGCAAAAATATTTAAGACCTAGAACAGCAAATTTAAGACTTTTTAAAGCCATAAATTTCGATTTTTTAATTTAAGACTTTTTAATTCTTTTTAAGACCCCGCGGGGACCCTGTAATATTTAAACAATTTTAATAAATGTGTAATGAGCAAAATTCTAAGTGTTTTGAAACAAAAGATGGCTAAAGACCTGCCAAACTGACGGCAAACTGTACAAAAGATCACTTATTTTTTTTAGTCATGGTGTACCCTGGTATATGTCTGCTTCCAAGACGTTAGAAACAAATGTTTTCCTTTAGCATCATCATTTGATGTTACCGCCATGTTGCTGTCTCTCCACTGTACTAATAACGTGCTCACAACATCTAATCAGATAAGAAGAACCGAGAAGGTAGCAATTGAAAGCTTGAAAATACAAACTGTTTCTCAATTCTAAAACTGTATTTGTACGCAATTAACAACTAGTCACAGGCAAATTAAACTTTAGTAACAAGGCAGCAGTGGCCCGATTGGGCCAGTAACGATCCTGTCTACTGTCCCGAGCGTCTCACACGCTGGCCCCGGGCCATCGGGCAGTCCTTATTGTTGAGCCCTGTCTTGACAATCCACACAGACGTGACTCAGACTAATGCAACAAGTAAAATCCTACATGACTTCACGCTTTAACAGGCAGTCAAGCAGGTCGCACACCAGAAGCGCCGCGACACGGCGCAGACATGACAGTTTAAACTATCACACACCAAACGCGCACATTCACGTGATATTAAACATGAAACTAATCAGATGGCGCTCTGTGGCGCGGCTGAAATATGAACTGCTTCGTGAATCGTGGCTGGGCGGCACTGGTGTGTGTATAGAAACCTGTTTAGAATTCTAAAATCTATGGCGTGGTGCTGTGAGGCGCGTCGCCGAGAGGCGCTTCTGGTGTGCTTCCTGCTTCATACAGAGAGTGAACCCAAGCGCATTGGTGCCATTATAATGTATTAAATATATATATATATATATATATATATATATATATATATATATATATATATATATTTAAAAATCGCGATTTCTCAATTTCATTCAAAATTAAATCGTCTTAAAACGTAAATTCGAATTAATCGGAAAATTCTGAAAAATCGCCCAGCCCTACCTACAATCTCTCAATGAGCAATCAGTTCAGGACGAAGCTGTTAAAATATTAGCTGACCCCTCGCACAGTGTGTTTTGTGAGTATGAGTAACTGCCTTCTGTTCGACAATACAGGCTGTCTGTGTGCAGATGCACTCGTTTTAAGAAATCTTAATGTTTATATATGTGATTTTTGCTGATGATTGAATGTTCGTGCTGATTTTTGTTTTTGATGTCTGTTTCTGTTCAGTGTATAAAAAAATGTGGGCCTACGGTCCGAGACAAAGTTCCCCATTGGGGACAATAAAGTGTAAACAAACAAGCATGCATGCATAAAGACACATATTTGCACACACATTTACACACACACAGGCCTGTCACAATAATCAATATATCAACTTATATTGTGCAATACTTGGAGATGACCTCAATAACGTTTGCTGCTGCAGTATATATTTACAAATTCACATAGAAGGCTTTATTTTGACGGTCCATGTCCAAAGTGCAGGGCGCAAACGCATTAAGATCATGTCAGAATCCACTTTTGCTAATTTAAGGATGGAAAAATCCGCTTTGCGCCGTGGCGCATGGTCTAAAAGGGTTGAGTTTATTTTCTTAATGAGTTGTAGGTGTGTTTTGAGAATAAATCAATCAGAGTCTCATCTCCCATTCCCTTTAAGAGCCAGCTGCGTCGCACTATAGCGCATTTGCTATTTACATGACGTAAAGTAAGAGTAAGTGGAAAAACTGAGCATTTCACAAGCAAACAGTTAACAGTTATTTTTAACAGAAAACAGATAAACAGAGCATCTGCAGCGCGAGAATGAGAGATAAATTATCTACTTTCACTTTCACTTTCGTGAATAGGGAGACGTGTTGTACGCACAGACATCAATTAGTCTATAAATAATTAATTTCGTTTGTTTAGCAAAAATATTTGTTTCAAAGCTATTTCTAAATTCAGTTCTAATTTCCAGCAAACGAATAAATGAACAATAATAACGAAGTGTGTTCAAAAACCTGAGTTATATCCTAAAACACATGCTGTGCCCCATATGGTCTAAAACCTGCAGGTGGACAAATCTAAGCTTGTTTTTAATAAAACAAATATAAATATATATATGATAACACTTTACAATAAGGTTCATGAGTTAATGCATTTACTAACATAAACTAATCATGAACAACACATGTACAGCATTTATTAATCATAATTGAACATTTACTAATGCATTATTATCATCCAAGTCCATGCTTAGTTAATGCACCATGAGTTAACATGAACTAACAATGAACTACTGTATTTTCATTAACTAACGTTAACTAGCATGAATAAATACAGTAGTAAATGTATTGTTCATTGTTTGTTCATGTTATTAAATGCATTAATTAACATTAACTAATGAACCTTATTGTAAAGTGTGACCGATATAATAAATAATACTGCTAATAATAATAACATTATACAAAAGCAAATTGTTTTGAATTAACTCAAAAATCCCCGAGATGAAGAAGGCATGAAAGTAAAGTTTTTTAATTTATGTAGGCTAGAAAATAATATGTTTTGTAATATTTTAATCCTTTATATTTATATCCTATATATATCCTTATTATATCTTATATATATCCTTAATATCTTAATTCTTTTTCATATGTAAAGATATTTGCGTATTGCTCTACATCTTGTGTGTATTAAGCAGTGTGTAAGCGACGCGCACATCTAACGCGCACTGCGCTGGAGTTTAGACCGGCTTTGTTCTGGTCTATTAAAAAATCTATTATAGTTTTATCAAAATAGCAACGCGCCAGCAATGCGCCTCAACACACCTCCCTTTTTAGACCAGAACGCCTATGGGCGCACATATGAGCGCAAATGCATTTGCTATTTAAACAGCGTAGCGCAACGCCTCAAAACGACTCTTGCGCCAAGCTGAAACTAGCAAACATCAATTGCGTCATGCCTTGCGCCACATTGCGCCGGGTGTATGATAGGGCCCAGAAAGTTAAAGCCAAATTTACAGTCTACCTCACCGCTGTCAAAGTTTATAACTGGACATTTACCTAATAGGACATTTAGCAGTAAATATACGAGGACATTTACCTGTTTAACATCAAATAATAGAATCTAAATAACGTTAAAAATGTAATCAGCATATAATCAGTGGCATAAAATTGTCTCTTATATACAATAATATCACTTATTGCAACAATTTCTGTGAAAATATATCACAAAACAAACAGTTTGTTATCGTGACAGGACTACAAACACACTTATGATACATACATTCACACAAAAATATCTACACACACACACACATACATACACACACATATGCATATGTACATGTATATGTATACACACACACAGTTGAAGTCAGAATTATTAGCCCCCCTGTTTATTTTTTTTCCTCAATTTCTGTTTAACGGAGCGCAGATTTCTTCAACACATTTCTAATCACAATAGTTTTAATAACTCATCTCTAATAACTGATTTATTTTATCTTTGTCATGATGACAGTAAATAATATTTGACTAGATATTCTTCAAGACACTTCTATACAGCTTAAAGTGACATTTAAAGGCTTAACTAGTTTAATTAGGTTAACTAGGCAGGTTAGAGTAATTAGGCAAGTTGTATAATGATGGTTTGTTCTGTAGATTATCAAAAAAAAAATACAGCTTAAAGGGTCTAATAATATTGTCTTTAAAATGGTGATTAAAAAATTAAAAACTGCTTTTATTCTAGCCGAAGTAAAACAAATAAGACTTTCTCCAGAAGAAAAAATATTATCAGACATACTGTGAACATTTCCTTGCTCTGTTAAAATCGTTTGGTAAATAATAATAATAAAAAAAACATCAAATGAGGCGAATAATTCTGACTTTAACTGTACACACACACGTTTACTTAATTCTCTGAATACCTCGTAGTTTGTAGTTGGTCTCGTAAACTAGCAGATCTCCAGGTCCCCATTCAAAGCCCAGGTGTTTCTGAAGAACTCCAGCAGCGGGAACGAGCTGTGAGAAAACACACCTGATATCACACACACTCAAAATCTCCATTCAAGGATCACAGGCTAGCCTCAAAACGATCATTTTCTTTTTATTGCTAACATGACCATTTTAGAAAAACTGCTGTGAAATATTACAAAGAAATGTTTACATTAAAAAATATTTACTATTAATAAAATATTTAGAAAGCATGCATAATATAGTTTTTTAAATTTACATTTTGTTAAATATTTACTCACGAAGCCGATAAATCACTGTTCATAATGCACGCATATTATGCTTTAATGTCAAAATCAAATGTAAACAATAATATTCATTACAATTGCATATTTATAATAATAGTATTGAAAACAATAATAATAACAACTAATAGTATAATGACAAACAGCATTAATTTACTGTTGAATCTTTCAAAGGCTTTTTAATTACATTACAGCACTACATATTAGCTGCAGTGTGATCATTTACTCTTAATTACAGGTCATTATAACTGCAAGTTGTTCATTTATACTCAAATAGATATCAATAAATGACATCAAATACACAAAAAAGCACAATACATGATGAAGAAACAGTGTATCAGCAGTTTTTAGACTACTTATATTCAAAAGTTAGTTGAAACACTACAGCACACACTTTATTCTCATTGAATATGGTTTAATGTTTACACTATTTTAAATGTATTATATTATATATAATATAAAATGACCGTAAATACGACAGTTCCTGCCATAATATACAGTAATAATATAAATATTTAAAAATCTTCGTAGTAAAATGCTTTATAAATTGTTTAAAAATATAAATTATTCTATATAATTGTTTATAAGCACTATAATATTACCTTTAAATACCAACTTAACACCGAAATACGGAATTATCAATGTCTCACATGCGTATAATTCACATATAACTTGCTCCGTGTAATAATACTCATATATACAGATGACCCAATTCAATCCAGCTCATTTACCGTGGTGCTGGGCTCCACGTCCAACTCCTCCATAACCCGCAGATGTTAAATCCTCCTGAATATTAGCGAAAAATATGATTTTAAACAGATATTCAACACTTTCAGCAGTCAGAATCGAGCGCCGTGAGTCTGAAGAAGGACCCCTGATGCCTGCCTGCGCGGTTAGTACAGCGCACTGAATGCCTGAGCAAAATGCGAACGGCGCTGGATCATACAGCGCCTATAAAAAATAATTAATGTTTTTAATTAACAACAACAATCACTGTATGCTTATTACTAGAAAGGGCTAATAGTTTCTAATTTATTGATAGTGTTTAGTAACCCGTACCATTCACAACAAGTTTTGCATTATACATAAAAATCAGAGTAAATAAAAAGAGCTTATAATGATTCTAAGCTCTTTGGTAAATATTAAATATTAGTTTTTGAAATCAGTTTTAGGCGACGCGGTGGCGCAGTAAGGTAGGGCTGTCGCCTCACAGCAAGAAGGTTGTTGGTTCGAGCCTCGGCTGGGTCAGTTGGTGTTTCTGTGTGGAGTTTGCATGTTCTCCCTTCATTCCCGTGGGTTTCCTCCGGGTGCTCTGGTTTCCCCCCACAGTCCAAACACATGTAGTACAGGTGAATTGTAGTGTATGAACGTGAGTGAGTGTGTATGGATGTTTCCCAGAGATCCGTTGCGTAAAACACATGCTGGATAAGTTGGCAGTTCATTCCGCTGTGGCGATCCCAGATTAATAAAGGGACTAAGCCGAAAAAGAAAAAAATAATTATTATTATTCAGATACCGTATGACACTGTTCTCCAGACACATGGAGGCCATAACAATTATTGCATTTAAGCTGTTAAAATTAATGTAAAACATTTTTTCTGTATATTATTTTAGAATATTTTTATTTTGTATATTAAAAAAATATATATCACATTTGCATAAATGTAAATTATTGTGTAATTAATGATTTTACTCCCTGATATATCACTAAAAAACTAATAATAATAAATTCTCATTATTGTAACGTGTTTATACACAATGTTAAGCTGTATATAGTCTTAATATTTACTCACTGTCCATTTTAAAGGTCTAAAATCTTGTTTCTCATAAGCAGTTTTATTCACAATTATGTCTGTCACAATATATGTTAGTCTCTTCTACTGGCACTTGTTTTGAGTTATTCTGAAATAATGTTAGAGGTACGTGCATCTGCTTATCTCAGTGTTTCATCAAGAACAAAATAATGACGGTTTTAATCAACAGCAACTGTATGCGTATTATTACGCTAATTGATTCTAATTCATCCGTAGTGTTTAGTAAGTGTGCTTTTATATTATGCATAAAATCAGAGTAAAAATTAATAGTTCGTTTTTGAAATAATTTTTAATATTCAGATGGTGTGTGACGCTGTTCTCCAAACACTTGGAGGCCAGTACAATTATTACATTTTAGCTGTTAAAATTAACTTTATAGGATATCTAATGTAAAACAAAAAGGATAAAAAATCTAATATTATTGTACAGTTGAAAAATATCTTTGTATATTATTTAAAAATATTTTTTTATTTTTATATTGAAATAAATATTTAGTACATTTGCATAAATTTAAACTATTGTGTAATTAAGGATTTTATTTCCTGATATATCACAAAAACTCATAAAATAATAATAATAATAATAATAATAATAATAATAACAACAACAATAATAATAATAATAATAATAATAATAATAATGGACAATGGACTTTAAAATGGACAATGAGTAAACATTAACACTATATACAGCTTAATATTTTAAAGACACGTTACAATAATTAGATTTTTATTATTGTTACAATAACAACAACAACAACAACAACAATAATAATAATAATAATTATTATTATTATTATTATAACAATAATAAAATTCTCATTAATGTAACGTGTCTTTGAAATATTAAGCTGTATATAGTCCTAATATTTACTCACTGTCCTTTTTAAAGAGCTAAAATCTTGTTTTACATAAGCGGTTTTATTCACTATTATGTTAGTGTAAATAATCTCACTCATGTGTTGTAGTTAACCTCTTTTCCTGGCATCTGTTTTGAGTTATCCTGAAGTAATGTTAGAGGTGCATCTGCTTATCTCCGAATTTCATCAAGAACAAAATGGCTTCCCTTCCCTCTCCAGAGTGAGGAGACCTGAATCATTCCCTCACAAATAGTCACAATATACTTATTAAACATCATTCTTAAAGATATATCTGTCGAATATTTGATCATATAAGGTGCTTGATGTATAAAAATATTAATAGTTTGTGTTATTTCTGGTGATATTTGGTCTCACATTTTTTACAAGACGAGATGTAGTGCACGAGTGCGCGTGCATGTTCCTTCTTCACCCCGGTGCCGCGCATGACATCATCGTTGCGCATCACCCGACGACACGTGCCCTGCTTTGCCCAATCGCGACTTAACGCGGACAACGGGCGCGCCTCTCGTGATCGCGCACGCCGCGCCTGTTTTTAATCGGGCGCGCGGACGTGCGCGTCCCCGCGGAGTCTTTGTGTGGCGGCGTAGAGAAGCGCAAATACAATAACCATGGCCGACGAGAAACCCAAGGTGAGTGGCGATTAAAAAAAGGAAGGATTATTTATTTTTATTCACAGCTCGAGTTGTGGGAGCGACTGTGAAAACGTGAAAATACACAGATGGGGTGATTTTTAATGTGAAATATCGCGCGTAGTGGATAAATACTGTAACTGCCGCTTTCAGAAACACCGGAAGAAGACGTGTGAACGCGCGCGGCGAGCTCACACCGCGCGTGACACTCACAGACGCGTTCAAATACAAATAATACACATAAAATAAGATGAAACCGTGCAATACTTGACATATTTCGCACATTTTGTGCGAGCTTTCAGTGTTTACCCACTAAAACCTGACGAAAAGTAGATTTTTGTTGATGATGTGAGCTGAATAGACTCCAATGTGAGCATCCATCACGTGAAACACAGCACACATTGCTAATTAAGATGATTTTTTAATCTTGGAGTGATTTATTTTCATTTAAAAATGGATTTTAAGAGGCATAAGTTAAATAAAATGTATTCTGGATGAGGATTAAATCTCCTTTTATGCTAAATTAATCAGAGTCACCATTAATATGCATCATAAAAATAGTTAAAGGGATAGTTCACACCAAAATGAAAGTTTACTCACTATTTACTTTCCCTCATGAGTTTCTTTTTCTGTTAAACACAAGAGAAGACATTATAGAAAGCTGTAACCATTAACTTCCATAGTAGGAAAAACAAATACCATGGAAGTCAATGGTTACAGGTTTCCAGTATTCCTCAAACTGTCTTCTTTTGTGTTCAACAGAAGAATGAAACTCATAAAGGTGGGGAAATTATAGAATTTTACATTTTTGTGTGAATTATTCAGTCATTAGTTATCCTCCAGCCTTCCCTGTCCACATAACTGTCATGTGACGTGAATTCACAGCTTATTTTAATCAATATACAATAAACAATTATGCTAATTAGCCACAGGCGACTGAGGCATTGTAAAGAATGTGAAATAGGGCTGCACAATTTCTAGCAGCATCAAAATGGCAATGTACACATTTGCAATAGTCACACTGTAGGATGTGCAATTTTGAGTTTTATCAAATATATTATATTTAAGAATTTTTGTTTTGTTTATAGACTAAAAACTTAAGCTAAAATATAAGATAGAGTAGACTATTTTGCATTGTTTTAATGGAAAAGTAACCTAATTTTAACCTAATACTTGTTTTAAAAAAGGAAAACCAAATATTTGTACTTGATTTTAAGCATTTTTTAGATATTTAGACTAGAAATGAGACAAAAAACTCTATAAGTAAACTTTTTTTTTTGCATTGTGATTATTTAATTTCTGTATCTGAATGTTGTTCCCAGGAAAAACATCAGATGGAGCTGTTCAAATCATCTGGTGAAACTGTATTCATATCGCAATACTTCCATTAATTTTTCTCCAGCTTAGTCCCTTTATTCATCAGGGGGCGCCACAGTGTAATGAATCGTCAACTATTCCAGCATATGTTTTTACACAGCGGATGCCCTTTCAGCAGCAACTCAGTAATGGGAAACACCCATACACACTCACATTCACACACACTCTCGTACACTACGGATAATTTAGCTAATCCAATTCACCTGTAGCGCATGTGTTTGGACTGTGGGGGAAACCAGAGCACCCGGAGGAAACCCACGCCAACATGGGGAGAACATGCAAACTCCACACAGAAATGCCAACTGACCTAGTAGGGGCTTGAAGCAGCGACTTTCTGGCTGTGAGGCCACAGTGCTAACCACTGAGCCAACCTGCATTGCAATACATATTTGCAGAAAAATAAAATAACGCCCGTATCAGATTTTTCCAGTCTTGTGCAGTCCTAATATGAAAGTATTTTTGGTTATTGAGGATATTGGGTGTTCATTCATTTTCTTTTCGGCTTAGTCCCTTTATTAATCAGGGGGCGCCACCGCGGAATGAACCGCCAACTCATGAAGCATATTTAGTTTTACGAAGCAGATGCCCTTTCAGCTGCAACCCATCTCTGGGAAACAGTCATACACACTCATTCACTCTCATACACTACGGACAATTTAGCCTACCCAATTCACTGGGAAAGATATCGGATGTTGTTCATTTATAATCTCTTCCGCTGTTTTGTCAGGAGGGTGTAAAGACAGAAAACAACGACCACATCAACCTGAAGGTGGCGGGTCAGGACGGCTCGGTGGTCCAGTTTAAAATCAAGAGACACACACCGCTCAGCAAACTCATGAAGGCCTACTGCGAGAGACAGGTGAGATCACACACACACACACACACACACACAATATAAGCCCCTTTCACACATACAGACCTTTCCGGAAAATTACCGGCAATTTTCCGGAAAGGTTGTATGTGTGAACAGGCCCTTTTTGAAAATACCGGTAAATTCGTTCTGGCTATTTTCCGGAAAGAGAAGTTGTAACATTACCGGCAATTTGCCGGAATGCTGCGCTGTGTGAATGCAGAAGGAAGATTGCCGTAATAAGCGCGTCCACGTCTAGAACGGGCTGACGTGAGACGTCTGCTTTAGCCAATCACAACAGTCTGACGCATTCACGTGCGCTCGGTTTATGAGAATAAAAGCCTTTGAATATTTTTTCCAGACACCTTTAGCTGCTAGATGTTAGTCAGATCACGTTTTTATGTTCCTTCTTAATGCTGTGTAAATAATTATCGATAAAATGTTTATGATAATCCGTTGTTTGTTTACCTTCAAGCTTTGCGTGTGCCCGTGAGCGCCCATAGCGCCAGCACACACACATATCATGAACATCTCGACATGCGAAAGTGTTTCTCTATGTTTTCATTAGAGTTGTACTCAATACTGATCCATCCGAAGAGTTTGTAATTTAGTCAAATGTTTACAAACACAAGCGCAGCCGTTTAGAGGTCATTTCTGGTTAATGATGTCAGAATTTACCGGCATTTTGCGATGGATGTGTGAATGCTGTTTTCCGGAAAAATTCCGTAACGTCCTCGCCTGTGTGAACAGCGCTTTTTAGAATTCACCGGTAAAGTAGTTCCGGAAATTTTCCGGATATTTACCGGTATCACTGTGTGAAAGGGGCTATAGAGAAATTTGTCAACAATAAAATGCAATATTAAATATTTTAATGATATATTGTTCATATTTTGATTTGTTCATTTAAATTGCTCCAAAAAAAGTCAAATATAAAATAAATAATAACATGTTTTAAAATGTAAACACAAAAGAACAGAAATAAACCAAAATCTTAGTCCCATATATTTTATAAATAAAAACCATTGGTTTATTAATATAGACATCCATTTTTCCATTAATATAGACATCCATTTTTCCCCCTTATTTTTTTTAATGCCACTTAAAAATCCAAATTGATTCTTCATTCATTCATTTATTCATTTTCTTAGTCTCTTTTATTAATCAGAGGTTGCCACAGTGGAATGAACCACTGAGCCAATTAATCCAGCACACGTTTTACACAGCGGATGCCCTTCCAGCTGCAACCCATCTCTGGGACACATACACACACACGCTCATTCACACACATACACTACAGACAATTTAGCCTACCCAATTCACCTGTACAGCATGTCTTTGGACTGTGGAAGCACCCGGAGGAAACCCATGCAAACTCCACACAGAGACACCAACTGACCCAGCCGGGACTCGAACCAGCGACCTTCTTGCTGTGAGGCGACAGCACTACCTACTGCGCCACTGCATCGCCCAAATTGATTCTTATAGGTTTAATTTTCTTTCCAGTTTTTGGAGAAACGTCTTTTCAGTATTGCAGAACACATCTTGTTTCCAGGATTTACCTAGTAAGGAAGTGGCCATTTTTCAAGCACACACGTGGTATTTAATGCATGACCCTTGCATTTTTAAGCACAAGTTATCCTTGGTCTGCTTTGCTAATGGCGGCTGCTTAAAATGAATCCATCAATTATTAATAGCGTCCTTTTTAAAATGAGACACTATTTTGTTGAAAAGCATTCAAATTAACAGCTTATAAGCACATGCAGCTTTTTTGGGTTATTTATGTTTAAAGGAGACCTATCATGCCTCTTTTTATGAGATTTAAAATAAGTCTCTGATGTCGCTAGAGTGTTTGTGTGAAGTTTCAGCTCAAAATACCACACAAATATTGATTTATAACTCTCGGAAATGGACCTTTTTAAATTTTAATCGTGCTATTTTGGTGTCTGTTGCTTTAAATTCAAATGAGATTGTGCTCTTTTTCAAAAGAAGGCGGAGCAGATGTCTGTGTGACGTTTAACGGTTTCCAGATTAGAGAAATAATTGACCAAGCTACAAATCATTCCATATTCATTCATTCATTTTCCTTTCGACTTAGTCCCTTTACTAATCCGGGGTTGCCACAGCGGAATGAACCGCCAGCTTATCCAGCACGCTTTTTTGCACAGCAGATGCCCTTTCATCTGCAACCCATCTCTGGGAAACAGTCATACATACTCATTCACTCTCATACACTACGGACAATTTAGCCCACCCAGTTCACCTGTACCGCATGTCTTTGGACTGTGGGGGAAACCGGAGCATTCAGAGGAAACCCACGCGAACGCAGGGAGAACATGCAAACTCCACACAGAAACGCCAACTGACCCAGCCGAGGCTCGAACCAGTGAGCTTCTTGCTGTGAGGCGACAGTGCTAACCACTAAGCCACCATGTGGCCTATATTATATTACATTACATTATATTATATTACATTATACAAACCATATTCACCACCTGGCGGTGCCATAATCACTTATAATCAAAAGGGATAATTTTGCTCACACAATCCAAAACAGATTAATAAATCCAACATCAGCATCCAATAACTCCTCCCATTCACAAGTAGCTCCTCCCCTTCTGCTACCTGAGCAAAACTATGAGCGCTGAGGGCATGAAGTGTTCAATTCAGTACATTTAAAAAAACTTGGTTCCAAATTACACACTATGAGTTTAACCGTATTTGAATGAAGTAATCTACCTCAGAGAGTAAGGTGAAGCTGCAGGCCCGGAGACCCAACCGCACGCTCAGACCTGCACGCACAGATTCCAGACCTATCTTTTTCTCAGACAGCGCCACCTGCTGTTGGGTTGGTTGAAGCGGCAGGTACTTAGACCCAACTGCACGCTCAGACCAGAACTTTCTAGTAGCAACTTCAGACACGCCAGTAAGGTTATTGATTTTTAAAGCGATTCCGGAAAATGACCAGGTTTTATGGCATAAATCAATGTGGCGTAAAATATTACACTAACAATTATTTTAGTGTTTGATTTGATCAAAATTAGTGTCAAAAGAGCATTATTAATGACATTTACACCTTGCTCTTATTTTATGTATTATTGTACCTTTCTTGGACACTTTTCTAGCAATGATTTCTGGCAAAATAAAAAAAAACTTTAAAGTAAAAATGTTAAAATAAAATGTTTAATATATAACGCGATTGTCATGATCACCAGCGTTCTCTAACCACCAGAGGTCGATGGACAACTATCAGTCTGTGAGTAGTTTCAGCTGTGAGGGTGTAATCAGTCTGGATCTGGAACCGGTTGTGTGTGCGTGGCATGACTGGGTGTTGTAGTCCAAACCATGGCAGATTTGTAGTTCTAGGAGTGTGAATGTTGTCCAGCGACCTTATTATTTGAAATATTTTAGTGCTATGTAGGTCTACTGTACGTATTACTGTATTATCTATCTGAAAGTGCTACCAAAGACAATAACAGTTACACAATAACAGTTTATCAATTATTAATATGTTCTGTAATGATTACAAATACGTTTTTTGGAAACCAAAATATCAGTTAATCTGCATAGAGTTTACAATATGAGCTTGTGACTTGTGTATTTTTTCCCAGATTGATATTACAATTCAAAAAGAGCGGTCTCTGCCAACACTAAAACACCAAATGCTGCAGATATTTCCAGTTTTTTGCCCTAGAAATGAAAAATCTCCCCAACAAGAATGTAAAGTGTTTATTTTATTTGATGTTATTTTCTAGGTAAACAAATAATTATTACTCCAATTATTATTTTTCACCATTTTTCTTTGAATTTTATTGTAGAAAAATTGTTTAAGTTACAATTCAGAAGCAGCTGAATTCAGGTTAGTCGATCTTTTGAACAGCAGGTGGCACTGTGAAGGTCTGGAAGTGCAGGTCTGATCCGTCCGAGCGAGCAGGTCTGAAGCCTCCTTTCTACTGCACACGACAAACGAAGAGCGACAGACCGGAAGTCGTTCATTTCCAATGGAGAGCAGTCCGGGAGCTGCGTTGAGTTCCGATCATCTCCGTATGCGGAAAATTCGGATCCGAATCGAGCTGCGGATCCGTTGAAATATTTGAACTCCTGCGACTAGGTCGTATGCGACCTGCCGACCGGATATGATGTATTCCAGTGTTGTCCAAGCAGATCCGTGCGCGCGAGATGAGAAATAGGAGTTTATTTGGTTATTTTTTTAAATATAAAAAGTCTATATTGAAAAAAAAAAACTTTTCTGTTCATAAATGTAAGTAAGAAAGTAATAAAAATATATTTTTAAATGTTGTCTCCACATTCCCTCCAATATTTTAGCGGTCTATGAGTTTCTAGTATTCATTCATTCATTAAACCATGTAAACACACAGAGAATAAAGGCTCTTGCTTTTGCCCTCCTTTATTTCTGACACCGTGAGAATCAGCTTCTCCCTCGTGGTGCACGTCAACACTGAAAATACTGTGCGGCTGCCACAAGGGGGCGTATTCCGACAGTCGTGTCCAAATGTCGTGTGCAGTGGAAAGGCGGCTTGAGCGTGCGGTTTGGTCTCCGGGCCTGCACCTTCATAGTGTTGACCTCAGAGGCCCATAGCTCCTCCCCTTCATCAGTAGCTCCTCCCCTTCCACTATGTGAACATTAAGTGCATGAAGTGTTCAGCGTTTGACATTTGCATTATTGCATTAAAATGTGATATTTGATCATATTGTTCAGTGTATGTGAACCAGGTTTATCTTCATTAAAGCAGAAGTCAAGCACGCAGATAAGGGCCTGACGCAGGTTGTGTTGTGAATGCGGCTCTCTGTCTACATGATGGTTAGAGCTGACAGGAGCGGCACCCGGTGTGGTCTTCTGCTGCTGTAGCCCATCCGCCTCAAGGTTGGATGTGTTGTGTATTCAGAGATGCTCTTCTGCAGACCTCGATTGTAACCAGGGCCGGAGCAAGCTGAACTGGCACTCTAGGCAAAGGATGGTCACGCCCCCCACAACCCTAAATTGAAAGGGGGTGGGGGGAGCTGTCACGGACGCCGCCCTCTCTATTCTGCCGCCCCAGATGCGGATATAACTGAGGGCGCGGGTGGCGAGGTTAGTGTCGCGAACGCCGCCCTCTCTATTCTGCCTCCTAGGTCGCCTCTATGGACGCGCCGGCCCTGGTTGTAACGAGTGCATATTTGAGTTACTGTTGCCTTTCTATCAGCTGGAACCAGTCTGGCCATTTTCCTCTGACCTCTGGCTGGCTTCAACAAGACATTTGCGCCCACAGACCTGGCGCTCACTGGATATTTCCTCTTTCTTGGACCATTCTCTGTAAACCCTAGAGAGGGTTGTGCGTGAAAATCCCAGTAGATCAGCAGTTTCTGAAATACTCAACCCAGCCCATTTGGCACCAACAATCATGCCATGTTCAATGTCACTTAAATCCCCTTTCTTCTCCATTCTGATGCTCGGTTTGAACTGCAGCGGATCGTCTTGACTATGTCTACATGCCTAAATGCATTAAGTTGCTGCCATGTGATTGGCTGATTAGAAATTTGCATTAATGAGCAGGTGTACCTAATAAAGTGGCCGGTGAGAGTATATATGAAACACTATATGCACACTATTAATAATAAAGAGATAAAGCTTGACTTTAATTAATATTAAATTACAATATCAGGGAGATTACAATTAGACCTTTATGTCAAATCGCACTTTTTGCCTATTATAAAACAACTTTGTCATGTTATGTAAAAACTGCGCAAACATTGATCCCTCCGAGGCATTTTTTTAAGTGCAGGTTTAACAAACAAAACCTTGCATTACCCATAAAAAACACAATAATCAATGGACAAGAAATAATACGAACATAAGCAAACAAATGCTAAAAAATCTGGTGTACGTTAACATTTTTATTTGTTTATTTGAATGGTTGGTATTGCATTTATTATTTTCGGATTATTTTCCCAGTACTGGGTTGTGGCTGGAAACGCTTGCCAGAGTAGTTGGTGGTTCATTCCACTATGACGACCCCTGATAAATCAAGAAAAAGTGTATTATTTAATTAATGAATATTTGGATCATTCTGAATTGTTACTTTTGTTGCCAATAACGCTAACGTGGCATTAAACATAAAACTATACGAGACAATACAATATAATACGATACAAAGCTAACATTACAATGTGAATGCTGTGGCGACCCTTGATAAATCAAGGAAAAGTGAATAAACACAGCCATGTCACCCTGCAGCCCAAGACCGGTTACTCACTGAAGCTAAGCAGGGCTGAGCCTGGTTAGTACCTGGATGGGAGACCACTAGGGAACACTAGGTTGCTGTTGGAAGTGGTGTTAGTGAGGCCAGTAGGGGACGCTCAACCTGTGGTCTGTGTGAGTCCTAATGCCCCAGTATAGTGACGGGGACACTATACTGTCAGTGGGCGCCGTCTTTCAGATGAGACATTAAACCGAGGTCCTGACTCTCTGCGGTCATTAAAAATCCCATGGCACTTCTCGTGAAAGAGCAGGGGTGTAACCCCGGTGTCCTGGCCAAAGTCCCTCTATTGGCCCTTGCGATCATGGCCTCCCAATCATCCCCTTCCAGCGAATTGGCACTATCACTGTCTCTCCACTCCACCAATAGCTGGTGTGTGGTGATTGCACTGGCGCCGTTGTCCTGTGGCAGCCGTCGCATCATCCAAGTGGATGCTGCACACTAATGGTGGTGTGGAGAGACCCCCCTCATGATTGTGAAGCGCTTTGGGTGTATGGCCATACACAATAAATGCGCTATATGAAACACATTACATTACATTACATTACAAATGATTTGATGAATGAATGAATATTTGGATTATTCTGAATTGCTTTTTTTTGCCAATAAAGCTAACGTGGCATTAAAAGTAATACAAAAGTCGGCGCCAGTGGTGTAATGGTTAGTGCGTCGACACATGAACTCCGGTGCTCGCGGTGACCCGAGTTCGATTCTGCCTTGCGGTCCTATGCCGATCCTTCCCCTCTCTCTGCTCCATATGCTTTCCTGTCAATTCTCTACTGTTTTATCAAATAAAGGTGAAAAGCCCTAAAACAATAATTATTAAAAAAAAAGTAATACGAAAAATGATATGATTCGATACGATACCAGCATTGTGGTGTGGATGCTGTGGCGACCCCTGATAAATCAAGAAAAAGTGAATGAGTGAATGTCTGGATTATTCTGAATTGTTATTCAGTGTTTCCTCTAGGATTTTTTTCCAGCTGTGGCGGCAGCCCTTTTTTACACAGATCTACCAACTACCTGTGGCGTAATTTTAATGACAAATGTCATGAGCGCAGTATTAAAAGTCGAGATCGCATTTATGTAATAGCCTATGAGCATGCGAATCTCTGTGCTTGCGCGCCGATTTCCTCTGCTCGTGCACAAAACTTCATGCACACCCTCAAATATAAGCTGCTCAAGCACAGATCTTCTTGTGCGCTCTCAAATAAACGCTACTGAAGTGCGATTTAGTGCGTTTATGTCTCCCACATTTGTTAAATTTGCTGGGAATATATATATGAACGTCTTTAATAGATCTACAGAGCAGTATTAATGGGTCCTGAAGTAAAGTGAAACCATAAATATATATACTAGATATATATTTGTTAAATTTGCTGGGAATATATATATGAACGTCTTTAATAGATCTACAGAGCAGTATTAATGGGTCCTGAAGTAAAGTGAAACCATAAATATATATACTAGATATCGCATAGGGACCCTGAGCATGCGTCAATAGCGCCGCCACATTGGTACAGTGCTCCCAGGACAATCGTCATTCAACCGCACTAGTCAAGACAGTGTGATTACGTGAAGATGCGGGACTTTAGCACTGTCTACGGATGTAGTAACGAGCAAACAAAGAAAACAAAGCACAAAGGCAGAACATTTCATAGGTAATATTAAGTTTTTTACGTTTTTGTATGTTCTGAACTTTTGTGCTAATCAGGTAACGTCATTGATGATAATACAGTCACTTACTGCATTCACCATTGGGCAAAGCAGCTCCAACTCACACTAAACACTCGGCTTATGATAGTTTTGTTGAATAAAATCAGCAAACAATGCAAAAGAAATATGACAACGAGATGCTGTGCTGCCAGAAACTTGTATTATTGTCGGCTAGTGAAGGAGTCGTTCATAACGGAGATTCATTCACAAACGAATCGCTCCCTCCATCAGTATGAGAATTGAAAGCAGGAGAGGAGCTGTGTTTCAGGACACGGATTAGATCAAATCTAACAGGGAGGGTGGATAGTACATTTCCATACACACAAACACAAGCTTTTTGTCAGGAATGCCCGTGCGGTCACTGATCCATCAATGTAGAAAAGTGATGTAAAATGATAAGTTTTGTAATTTAAAAAAAAATAATTGCATACTAACATCCAGGAAAACTCCCGATCATAGATATATGTGTATATGTGTATATCTCTGGCTTTGCATGGCCACAGTCCTCCACTGTACCTTGGTCCCGCATTCATTTCAAAGGAGCGCTACCCTGTAGCAAGATGGCGGCGCTATTGACGCATTCCGTCCAATAGACAACAATAGGCCAGGCGACATCTAATGTATATATCTATGAAGTGAAACGGCTATACGTCGTGTTTGCTGGCCTCGCACATCACGCACCTGTCAGTCAGCAAGTCAGTCAGCACGTAACCTTAAAGTGTTAAACAAATACAGCACTACTACGGTCGGTTACAGGGAAGTTCGCGCTGTTAAAATTCACTTACCCTTTAATATGTTTTGGTGCGATTTTCACCCGCTATTTGAAAAAATAAATAAATAACGCGACTGAATGATTTGACTGAGAAGTTGTAATCTAGCCATGGCGGGAACAGTTTTGGGGTGGCAACCCGCCATGGAAAAATGAATGTAGCGGAAACCATGGTTATTTTTTGCCAATAAAGCTGACATGGCATTAAAAGTAAAACATTAGGATACAATACATTGCTAACATTGCAATGTGGATGCTGGAGTGATGTATATTGGCATCAGATGTTCGCGTGTGCAGTCTATTATTGGCCCTCCTCTACACACATACACACACAAACAGGCTTTATTACTGCTGTAAACACCAGAGGTTAAGATGCTCCACGAGGAGACGCGTGATCTTCAGGTCACTAACATGTTTTCCTGGCAGCGGCCTAGCTTTAATCTGATTGTGGCGCCGTGAGTTTCTCCAGCAGCAGAAGTAGGACAGCGGGGAAGGAAGAGTCCCTGCCCTGAGCTGATCATGATCATTCAGACCGCAGGAAATCCTCAGACGCATGAAGTCGTGATCAGCAGACTTTATCTCACGTTTAAGGAAGGGGCGTCTGTGAAGATGATTGATGAGGAGGATGTCCTGTATATTAATGATGCCTTTATTTTGTTGACTTGCTTGTTGAATAATTCAGTATTCAGTTTTCATGGTTATAGATCATTTTCTCAAGATTTTAATGGTCATCATAATCTTATATCCTTACATTTTTTTACTATTTATGTATGTATTATATTGTCGTAGCATCAAATTACGAAAACGAATTACCGCTTATGCCAGGTGTTTCTAATGCAGGGTCTATGGAGGCGGTTTTACACAGTAGATCTGACATGGCTGGACTGATGTGGTTTTATGTGTCTTTGTGTGTTTTCCAGGGACTGACAATGAGGCAAATTCGATTCCGGTTTGACGGACAGCCTATTAACGAGACAGACACGCCCGCACAGGTATGACATCACCACTCACAGCCTATTAAAGTCTGCGTGAATCAGAAGTTGCAGAGACTTTTATATTAGTTTGAAGATGCACTTTTAACTAAAATGGTATGTTAAGTTGGGGGGGCGGGGCTTATTTTGTGCATCAATCCCTCAGAGCAAACTGTCAGACACACAGATATGACATCATCATTCACTCACAGACTAACGAAACAGACACGCCCAAACAGGTATTACATTGTCATACCCACACACGAATGACATCATCACTCATTCAAAGACTATTAACTAAACAGACACGCCCACACAAGTATGTCATCATCACTCACTCAGCCAATTAATGAAACAGAAACACCGACTAATGTATGACAACATCACTCAGCTTATTAAAAAAACAGACACGCCCACACAGGTATGACTTCATCCCTCACTCAGCCAATTAATGAAACAGACACGCCCACACAGTTATGACATCATCACTCAGCTTATTAACAAAGCAGACACGCCCACACAAGTATGACATCATCACTCATTCTAAGCCTATTTACTAAACAGACACGCCTAGACGGGTATGACATCATCACTAACAGCCTATTATCGAAACAGACACGTCCACATGGGAATGACATCATCACTCACAGCCTATTAGCAAAACAGACACACCCACACAGGTGTGACATCATCACTCATTCAGCCTATTAATGAAACAGAAACGCCCACACATTTATGACATCATCACTTAGCCTATTAGCAAAGCAGAAACGCCCACACGAGTATGACATCATCACTCACCGCCTATTAACAAAACAGACTTGCCCACACAGATATGACATCATCACTCACTCTCAGCCTATTAACGAAACAGACACGCCCATACGGGTATGACATCATCACTTATTCATAGCCTACTAACGAAACAGACACGCCCACATAGATATGACATCATCACTCACTCAAAGCCTGATAATGAAACAGACCCGCCCACACAGGCATGACATTAACACTCATTCAAAGCCTATTAACAAAACAGACACGCCCACACAGGTATGACATCATCACTCACTCACAGTCTTATAATTAAACAGACATGCCCATACGGGTATGACATCATCACTCTTTCATAGCCTAACTAACGAAACAACCACGCTCACACTGGTATAACATCATCACTCACTCACAGCCTGATAATGAAACATACACGACCACACAGGCATTACATCATCACTTATTCACAGCCTATTAAGGAAACAGACACGCCCTCACAGGTATGACATCATCACTCACTTAGCCTTCTAACGAAACAGACACACCCACACAGGTATGACATCACTCATTCACGGCCTATTAACAAAACAGACATGCCCACACAGGAATGACATCATCACTCACTCAGCCTACTAACGAAACAGACACGCCCACACAGGTATGACATCACTCATTCACGGCCTATTAACAAAACAGACATGCCCACACAGGAATGACATCATCACTCACTCAGCCTACTAACGAAACAGACACGCCCACACAGGGATGACATCACTCATTCACGGCCTATTAACAAAACAGACACGCCCACACAGGTATGACATCATCACTCAGCCTCAGTCTTTGTCCACTTTTGCTGTAGTGGTACGTCTGCTGTACAGGTGTGGTGCTTGCTTGTGTGTGTTTTCTGACCGCACTGCATCACAAATAAACCTTTTTACCGTAAAGTAAAGGGTGAGGCTGGCTAAACCTGTTAGTGAATGCACAGATCAGATTGCTAAGCCAGTGTTAAACACATGCAGACATTTAAATCTAATTGCACTGTGCTATTATATATTCTTGAAAATGAGGCAGATTCCTTTCTGACTCTGTTGCACAAATTGCTGCACTGACAAATCCTTTGTAGTGTTTAATTGCATATTCGTTTCATTTTCACTTCAAAGCAGCTTTAGACAATAGCTGTTTTTTAATCTAATATTAGTGTATGTACACAATAATGCAGCACATGTTGTTTTCTTAGCTCTTCTGATGTTAAAACAGTGGTATTGTGTTGTCTAAAAATAAAAACTAGATTGCACATGGCACCTTTTATGCTACAAAAAAGTTCCCAATGATAACAATTTTATTTAAGATTTTGATTAATCATTACATTAAAATAACGGGCGATGCAGTGGCGCAATAGGTAGTGCTGTCGCCTCACAGCAAGAAGGCCGCTGGTTTGAGCCTTAGCTGGGTCAGTCGGAGTTTCTTTGTGGAGTTTGCATGTTCTCCCTGCGTTCACGTGGGTTTTCTCCGGGTGCTCCGGTTTCCCCCACAGTCCAAACACATGCGGTACAGGTGAATTGGGTAGGCGAAATTGTCCGTAGCATATGAGTGTGAATGAGTGTGTGTGGATGTTTCCCAGAGATGGGTTGCAGCTGGAAGGGCATCCACTGCATAAAACGTATGCTGGATAAGTTGGCGGTTCATTCTGCTGTGGCGACCCCAGATTATTGAAGGGACAAAGCTGAAAAGAAAATGAATTAATAAATTAGATTGAAATAAAAAAATTTAAAATCCCATTTTACTCAGTGCAGTACTAAATACTGTATATTTACTATATACAAACATCCTGAAACTAATATTTAAAAAAAAAAATCTGTATGAAATTTAGATAATAAAATAATTTATATTCAGAATTCAGTGAGTATTATTACCGAATAACAAGTAAAACCTTACTTGTGCCTAGGATATATGCCTAGTTTTCTGCAGCAGATGAGTAAGAACTGTCTAAACTAGTGAATTCCTCCAAATAAACAATGTCTATGATAAATCCTATACCAACCACATTGTTATAACAAGTGCTTTCAAAAGCTGCTGAACCTTTTCTTAACATTTTGAATTCATCCCTACTTTTAGGATATGTGCCAAATTTTCAACAGCAGATATGAAAGAAATGTTAAAACCGGTAAATTCCTCCATATCAACAACATCTATGTGAGATCCTACACTGCAAAAAATGCTTTTCTTACTTAGATTTTTTGTCTTGTTTCTAGTCTAAATATCTAAAAATTCCTAAATCAAGAAGCATTTTCTAGACAAGCAAAACATATTGTCTTGTTTTGAGATATAATATGCCAAAATGAAGTGAGTTTTTCCTTAAAACAAGCAAAATAATCTGCCAATGGGGTAAGCAAAATAATCTTACGTCAAAAGAAAAAACAAGATTAATTTGCTGACCCCATTGGCAGATTATTTTGCTTGTTTTAATGAAAAACTCACTTAATATTGGCATTTTATTTCTCAAAATAAGACTATATGTTTTGCTTGTCTAGAAAATGCTTCTTGACATAAGAAATTTTAGATATTTAGACTGGAAACAAGACAAAAAATCTAAGTAAGAAAAGCATTTTTTGCAGTGTATAACGACCAACTTATTAAAACAATTCTTTTCAGAAGTTGCTGAACCTCTTCTTAATGTTTTGAGTTAATCGTTACTTTTAGGATATGTAATTTTAAGCAGCAGATGGGGAAGAACTGTCTAAACTGGGGAATTCCTCCAAATCAAAAACGTCTATGTTAGATCCTATACAATTCTTATTAAAACAAGTTGCTGAACCTGATCTTAACATTTTCAATTCATCCCTACTTTTAGGATATGAGCCTAATTTTCCTTGCTTTCATTTTTAAATATAAAACTGTCCACATGAAAGCGCAATAACTCACCGTGACGCATGTTAAAATTCAGAATCAGAAAGAGTATTATTGCCAGGTGTGTTCACACTTGCGAGGAATTTGTTTTGTTGACTGAAGCTTCTACTGTGCGACAGAATTACAAAGACAGGACAAAAAAAACCCATAATCAATTAATTTAAAAATAGAAGTAGTAAATGCAAATATACTAATTGACAAGTATACGTATATGTTTGTATATTACTATGTACAATATTATATGTGCAGCTGTCATGCAAATTGGCATGTAAAATGTGTTGTTAAATACGTGTATTGTGTATAAAATGTATTGATGTATTGAGTGATTTCACAATTACTATCATAAGGCACACCAAACCAACAGGGGGCGATATTAGCTTTTTATGCTAGGTTCACACCTAAAGGCTGATTTTTACTTCTGCGTCAAGCGCACGCGTGGATGCATCGTCCTTGCCTTGGCCGTCGGCGACGTTGACGCGCACTTCTCAAAAAATGTAACTATACGTCGTGACGACGCATAGCGCAAGCTTTGTGATTGGTCGGCTTGGCAGCGCTGACGAGTGTGGGCGGGACTGAGAGCCATGCAAGTCCGTTGGACCGATTGTTTACAAGTGTGGAGTCCCGTGAAGGTTTTCCCATGACGTGTTTTGTGTTTACCTCATAGTTAAAGTTGTTGCACGTTGGCCGGTTCCTGCCTCAAATTGAGCGAGTTTCACCACTTGTACATTAAGGAAGCGCTGAGAAAAAACAATACAACAGCAAAGAAACTCGACACAGAGGAACACCTCACTGCCAACTAGCGTTTCAGAAGTGTTATTGCAGAACAACAGAGACAGCGCGCAGAAGTATCCACTTGTTGAGTGGTGACGTGTTTGTGACGTATGTATACTGTTTCCGGGTCCAAGCCGCCATTCATTTGAGTGGAGAAATCCTTCGTTTATGATCACGTTTTATTCCTATCACACATTAAAGTTAATTTTACATAAAGTCATAGTGGACACAACAATCTCTGGGCTTGCTGCATAACAAATACCAAAAATTTAACAATTTATAAAACAATGAATCACTTTCTGGCCATCGGATATTAGGCATGGACATATATATTGCGATCGTGACTTTCGAAAGCATTAAATCGCTCTGTAAACGTTTATTATTACCATTTCATGAGTCTCCCCATTCGGTTAAATAGAGCGCTTGGACCCGGAAGCCGCTCCGCGTGACGTCACACTTAACAAGCGGATAAATGCACAGCTACACGTTTTGCATGCGCCGTGGGTTACCCCAATCACTTGATACAGAAGTATAAACCAGGCTTTACTTTCATAAAGCACAGCGAACCAAAAGAGGCTATAAAAGCCTTTTATGCTAGGTTCACACCTAAGAGCATAGGTTTGCTAATAATTCTGACTTTAACTGTATATACCAGGCGTGTCCAAACTCAGTCCTGGAGGGCCGGTGTCCTGCATAGTTTAGCTCCAACTTCCTTCAACACACCGGCCTGGATGTTTCTAATATACTAAGTAAGAGCTTGATTAGCTGATTCAGTTGTGTTTAATTGGGGTTGGAACTAAAATATGCAGGACACCAGGGCTGCGTCCGAAACCGCCTACTACTCAGTAAGTACTGCATTTCAATCTAAACGTACTACTCGGCCGTTAGAAAAGTATGTTCTATAGAGTATGAATGTAAAAAGTATGAATGGGATTCGAACGTACTACATCCGCCATTTTGTCATGGTCACGTGACCTACCTGCGTCAGTTGCGTCGCTTTACATCCATTCATGAATTCGCTCGCGGGGCATCATGGGATAGCGCAGCATGCATGGGATGCGCACTCTGGAATCTCGCCGGAAGTAGTAAGTCATTCGGGTACTTCTCGCATACTGATTTTCGAATTCTATGAATTCGGACATACTACTCGGCTCGCATACTGATTTTGGCGTACTGTATAGTATGGAAGTTTGCGGTTTCGGACGCAGCGCAGCCCTCCAGGACCGAGTTTGGACACCCCTGATATATAAACACTGTAATATAGACTGTTGTTGTTGTTGTTCCCGCAGTTGGAGATGGAGGATGAAGACACAATTGACGTTTTCCAGCAGCAGACAGGAGGACACCGAATCTGAATAACTCTCCACCGACATCTCTCTCTCTCTCTCTGCTCATCTGTACCTGCTGTTGTATAGTGTTTTCACCATTTCATGTTCACCATGTTCCTCTTTGGTTTTGTACATAAAGGGTTCCTGCTCCAGGACTATCACAGCCAGATCATGTGAGAAAGCCAGCCGTGTGTGTTTTTGAGTTCAGGGTTTGTTCTGCTTCAGATACGAGCACACACACACACACACACACACACACACACACACACACACACACACACACTGGCCTTTTTTTTTTTTGCCAAGTTGAAATTGTGGATAAATAAATGCATAGATGCTCTGCTCTGTTACTTCTCAAGCAGACACAAAAGCTGCGGGTTTCCATTCAGACTAATTGGTTTTATTTTTGTTTTACCGTAGTGGTCATGTATAGTGAGGCACTTGTGTTCAACATGTTTCTACTCCAGTGGTTAATCGAGGGAATTCATGTTTCAGACAAGTCCCAGCCATCCGTCTGTATTGTCCAATAATCTCTTGTTAAAATAAAATATTCTCTTTTTATCAAACCTGGAGATGTGTTTTAGTCACACGAGTACAATTATATCTATATAAACATACTTAAATGTCATATTCATAATAAATAAAAGATGTCTTGTTGTTTTGCACCAAATATTTTTTTACAATATTACAAAAGTTTTTAACATTTACTTTTATTTGACAGTTTAAATGGACAGTTTTATAGGGGAAAACATTAAAGGCAGATTTTAATAAACATTAATTATTTATGAAACAAAAGACTCAATAATAATCACTATATATAAATAATTATTTATTGCAAAGATGCTGCCATGCGTTTGTCTTGAAAATAGATCTTGGGAATTATTTAAAATTACATCACACTTATAGCACAATTATATTAATTATATGTAAAACATGCGCATATAATTATACTTGATTAGAATTTTTAGATCTGAATGTACTTAAACGTACCTAAATCCCATGATATTCATAATAAACAAATGATCCACTGTTTTCCAGACAGAACGTTTGCAATATTTACATTTTTTACAGTTTACTCTTATTTTAATTTCAGTTTTATAGAAAAATAAACATTTAAAAATAAAAATTTTAAAAGACTATTAATTGCTATATAATTCATCTTTGAGTTGTTTCTGCAGCCTCTTTTTTTTATTTGCATAATTTTAGCTGTGGCGTCACGGTGGCGCAGTGGGTAGCACTATCACCTCACAGCAAGAAGGTCACTAGTTCGAGCATCGGCTGGGCCAGTTGGCATTTCTGTGTGGAGTTTGCATGTTCTCCTCTGTGTTGGTGTGGGTTTCCTCCGAGTGCTCCGGTTTTCCCCTTAAAACATGCGCTATATGTGAATTGGGTAAGCTAAATTGTCCCTAGCGTATGAATGTGAACGAGTGTGTATGGTTGTTTCCCATTGATGGGTTGCAGCTGAAAGGGCATCCGTTGCGTAAAACAAAGAAAATGAATAGGGCGAGGCAGTGGCGCAGTAGGTACTGCTGTCGCCTCACAGCAAGAAGGATTGCTGGTTCGAACCTCAGCTCAGTTGGTGTTTCTGTGTGGAGTTTGCATGTTCTCCCTGCCTTCGCGTGGGTTTCCTCCGGGTGCTCCGGTTTCCCCCACAGTCCAAAGACATGCGGTACAGGTGAATTGGGTAGGCTAAATTGTCCGTAGTGTATGAGTGTGTGTGTGTGAATGTGTGTGTGGATGTTTTCCAGAGATGGGTTGCAGCTGGAAGGGCATCCGCTGCGTAAAAACTTGGTGGATGAGTTGGCGGTTCATTCCGCTGTGGCGACCCCAGATTAATAAAGGGACTAAGCCAACAAGAAAATGAATGAACGAAAATGAATAGTCTTAGCGATTCAAAATTGCATGTATAACACAATTATATTAATAATATGCGCATATAATTTAAACCACACCAACTGATTGGTGGAGAGGAGACATGAGTGATGAAGCAATTTATGATATGGGGATGTTGGGAGGCCAGAACCTCAAGTTCTCATCTGGCTCTCAATGAGCAGTATAGAGTCCTCTTCACTATACTGGGGCGTTAGGACACACAGACCACAGGTTGAGCACCCCCTGCTGGTCTCACTAACACCACTTCCGGCAGCAAACTAGCTTTCTCATGTGGTCTCCCATCCAGGTACTACCCAGGTGCAGCCCTGCTTAGCTTCAGTGGGCGAACATGTGAGAGTTGAAGAGAGCTAGCTGCCGGCTGAAGGACTTTTTTTCAGTACAATTATATTTATATAAACATACTTAAATGTCATATTCATAATAAATAAAAGATGTCTTGTTGTTTTGCACCAAATATTTTTTTTTAAACATTCTCTTTATTGTATTTTTACATTAGTAAAAATGATAACTTTTACATATTTGTACTTTTTCCTTTTTAAACACAAAATTGGAACATCACGTTACTATTATATAAGAGAAAAAAAAACGGAGAAATGGGGGGGAGGGGCAAAGAAAACAGAAAAAAGAAGAGAAAGAAAAAAAATTAAAAGAACTAAATAAGGTGGAATATTTGAAGTGCATTTACTAGGGTTCAATCACTGCTCTCTTGTTAAAGTATTCAATAAATGGATTCCATATTACATGGAAATTCTTTGTTTTATTTTTTAGGGATGCACCAAATATTTTTTTACAATATTACAATACTTTTTACAATTTACTTTTATTTGACAGTTTAAATGGACAGTTTTATAAGGGAAAACATTAAAGGCAGATTTTAATAAACATTAATTATATATGAAGCAAAAGACTCAATAATAATCACTTTATATAAATAATTATTTATTGCAAAGATGCTGCCATGCGTTTGTCTTGAAAATAGATTTTGGGAATTATTTAAAATTATATCACACTTATAACACAATTATATTAATTATATGTAAAACATGCGCATATAATTATACTTGATTAGAATTTTTAGATCTGAATGTACTTAAACGTACCTAAATCCCATGATATTCATAAGTAAATGATTTACTGTTTTCCAGACAGAACGTTTGCAATATTTACATTTTGTACAATTTACTCTTATTTTGATTTCACAGTTTTATAGGAAAATAAACATTTAAATATAAAAATTTTAAAAGACTATTAGATTGCTATATAATTCATCTCTAGGAAAAAAATTCAACATTAAATTAACAAAAAATTTACATTTTTACAATGTACACCGACAGAATTTTACAGTTTTATAGGGAAAAAAATTAAAGACAGAACAATTATATCACACCTATAATTGTTAACATTTATTAATTATATGTAAAATATGCGCATATAATTACACTTAATTAGATTTTTTTCAGTACAAATCTATCTGAATGTACTTAAACGTACCTAAATCCCTTGATATTCATAAGTAAATGATCTACTGTTGTCTAGACAGAACGTTTACGTTTTTTTTAGCAATTTACTCATTTTAATTTCACACTTTTATAGGAATATAAACATTTAAATATAAAAATTAAAAAGACTATTAATCGCTACATAATTCATCTTAAGGAAAAAACTAAATTAAATAAAAAATTTACATTTTTACAATGTACACGGACTGAATTTTACAGTTTTATAGGGGAAAAAAGACAGAAAAATTATATCACACCTATAAATGTTAACATTTATTAATTATATGTAAAATATGCGCATATAATTACACTTAATTAGAATGTTTTCAGTACAAATCTATCTGAATGTACTTAAACGTACCTAAATCCCATGATATTCATAATAAGTAAATGATCTACTGTTGTCTAGACAGAACCTCTGCAAAATTTACGTTTTTTTACAATTTACTCTTATTTTAATTTCACAGTTTTATAGGAAAATAAACATTTAAATATAAAAATTAAAAAAAAACTATTAATCGCTACATAATTCATCTTTAGGAAAAAACTAAATTACATAAAAAATTTACATTTTTACAATGTAGACCGACAGAATTTTACAGTTTTATAGGGAAAAAAATTAAAGACGGAACAATTATATCGCACGTATAACACAATCACCAATTATATGTAAAATAGGTGCATATAATTACATTTAATTAGAATTTTTTCAGTACAAATATATCTGAATGTACTTAAACTTATTTAAATCCCATGATATTCTCAATAAATAAATGATCTACTGTTTTCCAGACAGAATGTTTGCAATACTTATGCTTTTACATTATTTTAGTTTCACAGTTTTATAAGAAAATAATTCAAATATAAAAATGTAAAAATATTATTTATATATCACTATAGAATTCATCTTTAAGAAAAAACGAAATTAAATAAATTACATTTTTTTACTATGTAGTCCTACCTAATTTGACAGTTTTTTAGGAAAAAAGAAAATAAAAGACAGAACAATTATGTCACACATATAGCACAATCATTAATTATATGTAAAATATGCGCATATAATTTCCCTTAATCCCGTTTTTTTTTTTTTTTTACAGTAAACAGGGTGTCTACAGGTCATTAAAGGGTTTTCATTTACTCATTCATTCATTTTCTTATCGGCTTAGTCCCTTTATTAATTCGGGGTCGCCACAGCGGAACGAACCGCCAACCCATCCAGCACGTTTTTTTTTTTTTACGCAGTGGATGCCCTTCCTGCCGCAAACCATCTCTTGGAAAGACACACACACACTCATACACTTCGGACAATTTAGTCTACCATATTCACCTATACCGCATGTCTTATTTTATATTATAATATATATATATATGTTTATACAACAGTTCTGTCTGGTTCTCAACTCTGATTGGCTGATAGCCGTGCGATATTCTGCAATATCAGAACTCCTACAGCCTCTTTACCCTTTGTGTATTACTCCGCCCACATACAGCCAGCAAAAAGCAGACACTACAGATCTAAAGTTTAAAAGATGCACGCTCAACTGTTTAACTATATATATATATATATATATTTTTTTTTTTTTTTTTCTTTTTTTTTTTTCAATAATGTTGCCTTGAACTTGTCTTATAAGTCTTATAATTAATAAAAGTCTAATAAATTGTCTTGTAAGTCTCATAAAATAGACTTCATGTCAAACCGCAGATGTGTTTTAGTCACTGCACTGAATGACACACACAGTTGTTTTAGTAGCATCTTTTTAATTTGAGCAATTATTCACAGTTATATCACACACAAAACACAATTATAGTAATTAAATGTAAATGAAGTGATTCAAATTTGCACTTATAATTTCACTTAATCCAAATTCTTTGATGTAAAGTGTCTGAATTAAAAATTAGTCTGAAGATTTTAGAGACCGTTTAAGAGTAATCAGGGTTTCTGCAGGCCATGAAAAGCTTTTAGTTTGCTCTTAAACTGTTTAAGGTGTTTAAATTAAGAGTCATAATGACAATAAATGTTGCATGTGCATCCTATTCTTTAATGATAACAGATTTGTTTTATTTTTTATTGAAACGTTCAAGAAGAATACAAAAATCTACAGAAAAGGTACAAATCCCATAACAACAAAAGTAGACAACAGAATAAAACAAAAAGAGAAACAAAAGATTATGCCAGGGGACTATGAATGACAGAAATCACTTTAAATCTGTCTCAAAGCAAGGTCACAGTGATGTTTACGTACAAAACAGTCATCCGAGTATTATAAAAGAGACCATACTGTAAGATTCACATAGTGTCACTGATTTTAAAGCTTTGACATTGCTGAAGATAGAGATGGTATTTAAATAATATTTCAAATCTTTTCAAAAGATAAGAAAAAGGGGCTTTACAGACAAAAATTTGCATTTGTGTATAAAAAATTGCTAGTAAAATAAACAGATTTATTAGAAAATATTTATCTTTAACTTTAGTGATAACAGACTTTATCAATCTAAATGTACTTAAATGACGTTATATTCGTAATACTAATATTATATTTCATTTTTAATGGACAGTTTGATCAGATTTTTACAAACATTTACTCAAATATCAAACTAAACGACTATAATTCTGAAATTATAAATTAAGAGTCCTTTCAGTTTGAAATTGGGTAACATCTATGCAGTAAAACACTACAGACAATATTTACAGTAATATATATTACTGTAATAGTTGTTTGTAGTGTTTTATTGCACAGTTTTTACATTGAATTTGTCATGACAATATGGTTTATGTTGAACTATTCAAATGTATATAACGGATAACACGCATACAATGTTAGGACTTGGTTAATGATTAATAATAATAAAAAAAAGTATAAATATCACATGGTTTCACTTCAAATTATTATATTATACTTGAATATATATATTCCTTGTCCTTGTTGACACTAAATAAAGTATTTGATTAAAGAAATCGCGTATATTTTTAACACCAAAAGCCTATGGATGATTATGCAGTAAACGACATCACATAAACCCCATGTACTCTATCAACTGACTGACGGGCAGATCCTCCAATCAGACGCCGGCGATTGCTCTCTTTTGTCCAATCAGCAAGCGCGTTGCGCTGTTAGGCGGGGCTTCGTGGGCTGGTCTAAAAGGGCCGCTCCGCTGCGCTCGGATTTCAGCTGGTCCGGGCGGAGTCCATGCGGGATAAAGGACTTACACCAATTCAGTCCAGCCGAAGGGTTTCTAACGCGCTTTAGCGAGCAACACCACCCGCTCAACATGACCACGACGACCACTTTCCAAGGCATGGAGCCAGGTGCCAAAAACAGCTCGAGGTAAATGAGTTTTACGCCTTTTACAGCGTCCATCCGCCAGACAAAAGAAGAGCTGGAGGTGAAGATGATGATGATGATGGTGGTGGCCTGATGGATGGATTCATCCTCCAATACATGACTTATCATGGCTTATCCACCACAATACGAGCATTTAATTGGATTTGGATTGATTCGGCGAGTGCGTTTAATCTGAATCATCCTCCATCATCATCATCATCCTCTTCCTCCTGCTCGTGAAGGCTCATCCACCCTTTTATTCAGCTCTAAGGTTGACCACAGCTCGTTATATCGACACATCTACATACATCAGTGCTCAAACTTCACCCAGCAGACACTAATGAGGCTGGCAGGCTGCCATTCTTCATCATCATCATCATCACCTTTAATTAGCTTTAAACTTAGCATTGTTTTAGCTAAATTTGCATGAATGGGTCATTCTGTGCATGATCAGTTGATTAATCCCAGTCATCTGACTGTATGCTCGGCAAAAATCCTCCAGCTCTGGCCTCCATTAAAAAAAAAATACACGCTCCATTGTCCTTAAAAGGTTTCTGATACTGGTCTTGGAACAGATGCATTGAATTCAGTCCAAGCAGTCAGTGGAAGGTCTGGCCAGAAAGCACTCACTGCAACTCCTGCTCGGAAATGATCTGAGCTCACTGATGGAGATGCAAAATATATATATTTATTGTTATTATTATGTAGATATTTGTTATATTGCAATGCATTTCAGCTTGACGTGTGTGAGTGTGTGTGTGTGTGTGTGTGTGTGTGTGTGCGCTATTGTCTCCAGGTTGAGAGTGATTGCTCTTAATGCAACATGTTGCCACCTATTATGTCCTCCATTTACAAATACACACACACATTTCCCACCACAGATTTAATTCTTAAGGGTTTCCTCTCAATCAGAATGTAGGTCAAGCCTTGAGCAGACGTCTGTCTGTGTGTGTGTGTGTGTGTGTGTGTATATATGTGTGTGTGTGTTTGTCACTTGATGGGTTTTCTGCATGCGTCTTCTTGAGGAAGGGTTTTAATGCCATGCTGTGAGTGTGTGTGTGTGTCCTGTGTGGTTTGGGTGGGGTCTCAGCCATCGGCCTTCTCCTCCTCCTCCTCTAATAGTAAAGCCCCTGATCTGATCTAGTCTGGTTAAAGCATTAGCAGTTTTAACCAGTCCATTGCTCGCGCTGCTGGTCGTGTTTCTAATCTCCAGCAGGCCATGGGTTTCTTTGTCAGGAGATGTACGAGTGTGTGTGTGTGTGTGTGAGTGTTTTTCAGCGGTGACCCTGACAGCTGCCGGCGGGCGTCAGATGGACCCCAGAGCTGTGCTGGGCTTTTCAATAGCATTGATCAGGGGCTTCCCTTCACCACATCAATCTGTGCTCGTCCTGCAGCCGCTTTAATGAGGAGACATGTGTGCTCAATCAACACACACACACACACACACTGGAATCTGCTGCTGGTATGTGGACAGATGAGGGTCAGCTGTGTGTGTGTGTCAGTTTAGGGCAGGGCAGGATGACCAAAGTGATTTTATTTGACGGTTTGCATCACAATACAGGCGGTTTTTGTCCGTTTTTCTGGTCCCCGTGTGGTCATTTATAACTGATGGAGTCACTTTTGATTAAAGCATCCGTCTTTATGTGCAGTTAAGCAGTGCTGTTTTTAAACTGGTGTGTTTCTCATTGCATAAATCCCTTGTTGAAGCTATATGTGCACACTTGGCGGCCACTTTATTAGGTACGCCTATCCAACCGCTCATCGATGCAAATTTCTAATCAGCCAATCACTTGGGAGCAACTAGCACGTGTAGACATGGTCAAGACGGTCTGCTGCAGTTCAAACCGAGCATCAGAATGGGGAAGAAAGGGGATTTAAGTGACTTTAAATGTGGCATGGTTGTTGGTGTCAGGCGGGCTGGTCTGAGTATTTCAGAAACTGCTGATCTACTGGGATTTTCATGCACAACCATCTCTACAGAAAATGGACAGATTTTCTTGGCACACTTTGGGCTCATTAGTACCAATTGAGCATGGTGTCAACACCACAGCCTACCTGAGTATTGTTGCTGGTCATGTCCATCCCTTTATGACCACTGTGTCTCCATCTTCTGTTGGCTACTTCCAGCAGGATAACACACCATGTCATAAGGCGTGAATCATCTCACTGTTTTCTTGAACATGACAATGAGTTCACTGTACTTAAATTGCACATGCAGCCGACAAATCTGCAGCAACTGTGATGCTATCATGTCAATATGGAACAAAATCTCTGAGGAATGTATCCAGTAACTTGTTGAATATCTGCCGCGAAGGATTAAGGCAGTTCTGAAGGCAAAAGGAAGTCCAACCCGGTATTAGTAACGTGTACCTAATAAAGTGGCCGGTGAGTGTATGTGTATAGATGGAGATGCCAGAATCAATTTACTCTTATTTGAATTGACTTTTAATGAACTGATTTACTGAAAGGAAAAAAACCCCTCAAATATATTGAAAGACTTTTTGTAAAGATGTTACTTTGAATTTATCGTAAAAAATAGATTGTCTTATAGTTTTTGTGCATGAAAGCCATGATGTATAAACCATTAAGTCTCTACTAATGATGACCAAGTGTGTGTTTCAGTTTAGTCATTAAAGTTAAAGTAATTAGTGATTTTATTTTGCTTAATCACAATACAGGCATTTTTGTCCACTTTCGATGTGGTCAGTTTAGATGCAAGCATCTGTCATTGTGTGCAATGCTATTTTAAAAATTGTGTTCGCATTTATACTTCATGTTAGTCATCTGTTGAAGCCTTTCATTTATACGTGTGTACATTTCTAAATGAGTACAACTCCTCTTGAAAATGAGTATATGTACGAGTACATCTATTGAAAACGAATATTTTGATCAATTTGTCAGTAAGTCCATTTTTATCCATTAAAATAAAAGTTTGGTCACCAAACATCTTCAGGAATGGAAAGATAGTACATTTAAATTCAAGAGTTATTGCGAAAAAAAAAAAAAAAATATATATATATATATATATAATTTTTTATTTTTTTTTTCCTGTTTATTTTTTTTTATTATATATTTTTTTATGTTTTTACTATTTTACCTAGCATATTAATTTGGCTGTGCTCATTTTTAGCTCCATTTTTAGCTTTGGTTGTTCTAACATATCTGTGCAAATGTAATATTGTAAAGCATCATATAGAAAATAATACAGTTCAGAAATAAGGTCTTTTATTTATTTTTTGTTGCTTGTAATAATTTATTGTAAAGATGTTACCTCCAATTGGCCCATAAAATAGATTTTTTTTAAAAAATGCATTTCAAATTTTGTTGTCTATGAAAGATGTGGTGTATAAATCATGAAGCATTTGGGATTAGTGCGTGCGTGTGTGCGTGCGTATGAGATTTTATGTCTATTTGTCACTATGAAAGGCATGGTGTATAAATCATCAAGATTTATAAATTGGCTCCGTCATTACAAATGAGGATGAATTAAAATGTGTGTGTCACTTTAGGGCTGGGCAGGATGATCAAAGTCATCATTCTTGACTTGTATAGGTTTGCAGCACAATATGGCCATTTTTGTCCATTTTCTAGTGACCATGTGGTGATTTTAACGGCTTCAAAGCATGCAGTTTGCATAGAGCATCTGTTAATATATATGTGTACAGTGTGTGTGCGTGTGTGCGTGTGTATGCATGTATGTGTATATGTGTGTGTGTGTGTATATATATATATATATATATATATATATATATATATATATATATATATATATATATATATATATATATATATATATATATATATATATATATACCCATTTTATTTTTGTTTGTAGGCTCTTAATCACTAAACAAGTGTTTGTAATGTTTTATTGTAAAGATGTTGGCTTGGATTTGCCATTCCCAATTACCTTAAATATCTCCGTCTTAACATTTATTTATTTATTTTTTGCTTTATTGGGTTCATCTTCGGTCAGACAATAAAATATACACTCATATATATATATATATATATATATATATATATATATATATATATATATATATTTTTTTTTTTTTTTTTTTGGAATGCAACAATACAGTTAGCCCACGGTTCGATACATACTTCGTTTTTTTTAACACTTTTTTCACTTCGTTGTTGTTGGGTGATGGCGCTGCAGATGTGCAGTCATGGTTATACATGTACCGAAGTGTCCTCACACCGCAGATTTGAAAGACTCCGGCACTTTCTCGTACTGTTGCCTCTCTTCGCCTGCACTTCCTTGTACTGTTGCCTCGGCCTCACTTCACCGCCATGTTAAAGTGTGGAATGATGGTCATGCGCCCCCCTACCCTTAGAGCATAGTGATTGGATATTTACTCGCGGGGAGGAGTTTCCTCATCTCAGCTCATGGATTTAGAGGCACACTTGGTCAATTCGGGGAGATCTAAAACGCACAAATTATTTAAACGCAAAACTGAGAAAACCGCTATTCACAAGTGTGTATTGAACCGTGGAGGTCGTGGCATCCCTTATATATAAATATATATATGAGCAATTCCGTGCAAATGTCAACCTTGCCATGAAAATAAAATTCGTTTTTACCAAAATACGGAAACCATTTCTGGGTTTTTTGTGTAAGCAAGTATTTTACAGTACTTTAAAAATACTCAAAAATGCATCTGTCAATGTTTTCAAACTATTCTATTTGATTTACCAAAGTCACACAAATGGTAATTTCACATGCGTCACATCCATAACAGAGAGATGTCACATCCATAACGACACTTTTTCCTCAGAAATGTGAAAATGTTAAATAAAATAAAACCAAGCAATTTTGTTTTATAGAAAGCCGACTCTAATCCTTTTGATTAGCATTATTTATTTTGGGTTGTGCAGTTTAATTCACAGAATTTCTACAAAGTGTGTTGTATACTGTAAACTCGCAGACTTTTTTTGTTATATATATAACCGTGGAGGTCATGGCATCCCTTATATATATATATATATATATATATATATATATATATATATATATATATATATATTTTATATATATTTATATATATATATATTAGGGTTGTAACGGTATGAATTTTTCACGGTATGATAATCGTCTAAAACAATACCACGGTTTGACGGTTTCGCGGTATACGGTATGTTACAAATGTTACAAAATAATAGAACAGTGAAGCAAATTTGACTTTTTCCAAATAATATATTTTAGTTACTATAAACAACACCACTTACAATGAACAAATAAAAATAAGAAAATAATAAATAATGTGTCAAAGTCCAAATAAAGTCCAAATAAACATGGTGCAAATCCTCAGTAAAAAAATAGATATAAATATTTACTATACTATAAATAGTTACATAACGAAACTAGATTCAATATGGAACATCCTTAGGTTTTATGTGCCAGCATGGATATGGTTGTCAATCGATATGGATTTGGATATGGTTGTCTGCAATGCAGACAAACAGCTGCATCTTCATTTGTGTCTTTTGAAAACAGCAAGAGCAGCAGTTCGTCTTTGCTGTGTCACTGTTTTGTCATGTTTCTGTGCTGCTGTGCATGCAAAAGTACTTAGTATGAGAATTATTTCATGCAAAACTTTTTTTTTTTTTGGGTTTTATTTAGCCGCGCATAAATGTATGCCTATCTCTCATTGCGTGTTGTTCAAAAAGCTTGGTCCACAAACAAAAGCGAAACCTATGCTTATTGGTTGTGATATAGCGAGTTTGAACCAATCTGGGCATGGAGGAGGGACAATGCATCAATGTATCATGTCTGATTTGTCCGGAGACACAGTGACGAGCGTTTCTTTGTCAAATCAGCGTTGTCAAATGTTGATGACGTAACCGCACTGATTCCGGAGCCTCTGAAAGTCCGCGAATGTTATGTGATACAGCACTGGAAAGCTGAGATTCTCTTCTTTATGCCAATCTTTGAATTGTATGAATCGGATCAGCGGATCAAAAGTTATTAAACATTTAAGAGCAATACTTATTTTTAGCCGCGGGCGGCTGTCTCGGTCTTTAAGGGTTAAAACCGTTGATATGCAATTGTTCATGGTATGATAATCGTGCACGTTCAAATCGTGGTAAACCGTCATACCGGTATATTGTTACAACCCTAATATATATATATATATATATATATATATAAATATATATATATATATATATATATATATATATATATATATATATATATACACTGTAAAAACCCAACAGTCAACTTTATTAACTCATTTAGTGTATTTAACTCAGAATTGACTGAAAGTTAAATCTACTCATTTGAAAAGAGTTTTGAACTCTGTTGAAGGCAAGTTCATTAAATACCTCATTGCTTCGGCTTAAATGGAGTATAAATACACAGTACTCCTATAAATTAGTTTTTTTTTTTTTACTCAAATGGTTTGTAGCAATCGGTTTCCTTAAATAGTTTGACTTACCTTTAACTTATTGGGTTTTACAGTGTAAATATAATATACGCACTGACACAATTTACCAAACAAGAAGTTATCAGGAAAACATAATTATACAGTAAATAAGTACATGAATAATAAGGTAAAATACCACATCAAATATACACACAAGATAACATAAAAATATTAATAATAGAAATGAAATGTAATAAATAAATACTAAAATAAATCATACAAAGAACAAAATAAAGTAAGATATAGGCGGTGTCTCCTTAATTATTAAAAAAGGGCTTCAGATTTTCTGCAACTGTTCTGGCTTTTGTTGTACTGCGGACTGAATCTTTTCTATTCTATAAGCATGTAAAATATCAAAACCCCACTGCTGACTGACTTCCAACTCATAAGAATGAGTCCTCTAGCCAGTAAAGCTGCAAAGGCTACACCATCAGCCTGTAATGAAGTTAATTCAGCTCATTCTGGCTGGATTCCACCTCTGCATTTTTTTATGTTGTTTTGTTTTCCCACATGTAGAGCGCTTTCATTGAGCCATGATTAAATTCACTTAGTTTTACGTGCATTTTGGGAATATCACATCCAAACTGCCTAATGTAAACGCCAGGACATGCCTACATTTAAAATAAATGCACACTTAAAAACCTTTTACAGACAACTATAGGATGAACGTTTTACTTGATAAGAAAAAAAGCACATTAAAATATGATGGAAACACATTTAGTGAATAAACTGCATCAGTCTGATGTGGCTTTGTTTTTCACAGATGATGATCAGATATAAATGTGTTTTAGAGACTTTGCATGACGGCAGATGTTTCCAGCACGATGTAAACGATCTGAAATGTTGTTTTGCTGATTTCTAAACTCCTCAGCCGTCAGTCCGTCATTACAGTGCTGCAGTATTACTCTTCTTCTATTATGATTCCCTCCAGAACTGTCTTGAGCATCTGTCTGCGCTCCCAAAGAGCGTATCGCACCTCCAAATACACCACATTTAGCGCATTCATTGCATTTCGTCTTCATCTTCTAAGGCTCAACTCATTTATTAGAGAAGAAAAACACCACAGTGGCAAATCCCAACACACTCAACTCCATTTCTCTGACTGATATCTGCTCTAGTTTTACAGGAAGTGATCTTGTTTTCTTTAGTTTGGATGGAAACGCCTCTTCATTCGCATTAGTACTGGTTTAATTCACATCTTAATTGGAAGCTAGCTAGTGCTAGTCCTCCTGTGAGTGTTTTCTGCGTTCGCTCTTGTGAAGGAGTGTGTTTCTGAGTGTTGTTTTCTGTTTGATAGGGTGTTGCGTCCTCCTGGCGGAGCCTCCAACATCTCCTTCGGCACAGAGGAAGAGAAGCCAGTGCGCAAGAACAAGATGGCCTCCAGTATTTTTGCTGAACCCGACGACCCTCACGCCCACCGGAGGAACAACCCGCCAGGTACACACAAATACACACACACACACACACACAAATACACGCGCACGCACACACACACACACACACACACACACAAATACGCACACACACACAAATACACACACACACACACACACACACACACACACACATACATACACACACACAAATACACACACACATACACACACACAAACACACAAATACACACACACACACACACACACACACACACACAAACACACACACACAAATACACACACAAATAAACACACACACAAATACACTTACACACACAAACACACACACATACACACACATACACACATACACACACACACACACACACACACACAAATACACAAATAAACAAACACACACACACAAATACACGTACACACACACACACAAATACACGTAAACACACACACACACACACAAATACACAAACACAAATACACACACACAAATAAACACACACACAAATACACTTACACACACAAACACACACACAAATACACACACACACACAAACACACACACACACACAAATACACACACAAATAAACACACACACAAATACAATTACACACACAAACACACACACACACACACACACTCACATACACACACACACACACATACACACACACACACACACACACACACACAAATACACAAATAAACAAACACACACACAAATACACGTACACACACACACACACACACAAATACACGTAAACACACACACACACACACACACACAAATACACAAACACAAATACACACACACAAATAAACACACACACAAATACACTTACACACACAAACACACACACAAATACACACACATACACACACACACACACAAATAAACAAACACACACACAAATACACGTACACACACACACACACACACACACACACAAATACACACACATACACACACACACACACACACACACACACAAATACACTTACACACAAACACACAAATAAACAAACACACACATACACGTACACACACACACACACACACACAAATACACACACACACACACACACACACACACACATGAACATAACTGAAGCTGAATGTGTAATTCAGGGGTTTAGACTGTAAAATAGGTGGTAATTTCAATATTAAAGTCGTCCGGCTGTCTCAGCAATTCTCATGTGGTTTTAATGGCTTAGTTTTGGTGATGCGCAGTAATGAGAGCAGATTCAGTGTTCAGATTTATCTGTTATTCAGTTTCCAAAGCTGCGTTTGTAAGATTTTCCGTGTGGAGAAAGTCGCTGCTTTCACAGACAGCCATGAGTGTGTGTCCGCATTCTGACAGCATGATGTCATTTCCTGATCTCCGGACTGTCCAGTAAGTGAGGAAGTGAGTCATGATGTCAGGAATGGTGGTGTGTGACATCATGATGAAGGCAGTAGTTCAGTCTGTGAGTGCCGAGCACTCTGTCATGTGTTTCTCTGCTGGCTGTGGCCTGATTTCGCATGCTGATTTGAGTTTCTTAAGATTATCAACACATTATTTGATGTCAATGACGACTTATTTTCTTTGCTTTTATGTTTTGGAAAGATTGAAGTCTCCTAAAATGTTTGAGGTCATTTTTATTGGGGAGGTAATTGTATAAATATTGCGTTTATTTTTACTTTCCGCCCCCCTCTCTTAATTTTTTATAAAAGTTCAAGCTGCTAAGGACACTTTAAAGCAAGTGGTGAACGAATGCCAAATTCCTCCTCCAGAGCGGAGACCTTTTATCAACGTTTGCATTTTAAATAAGTGGCAAGAGGAGTGGGATGCATTAGAAAATAATACATTTAGATGAAAAACAACCTGAAATCTCGAATAAAATTAAAACATTTTAAGCCTAGTGTTACGTGGCGGATGCACCTCGCTACTCACATAAGATTAAGGATGACCGCTATTAAAAGAGGTCACCCGGAGTCCCTGTTCCTGCTCCCCAAGCGCACACACACAGGCCAAGTTGTCAAAAAGGGGAATCAGATTTATAAAACAAAAAGATCAATATCAGAATCAGGGAACAAAAAGGCCAAAACGACAAACAAATCAAGGTACGCTACCTAATATTAAATTTCTTACCTAAACCAAAAATAAAGTTCTGTAAATAAAACATACAATACTAACCTCCATAACTAACCACAAAACAGGAGAAAACGGGACAAAAGAAAAGGGCGTTCCCTTTGATCATACAGCCGTAAGGTAAACATTAGCCACAGCTAACACATGATACTGTCCTAGTACCTTATTTAACAGATTAGCTGCGTCCCAAATCGCATACTTATGCACTATTCTACGCCATTCTGTAGTATAAATAGTGTAAGTAGTGCGTTCACACTGAAAACTCTAAAAATAATAAGTGCACTTTGATTACCCGGATGATGCACTCATTCAGCCGCTAAAATTGTGTAATGATGGACACTTCATGCACTCAACGACCGCAGGTTTGCTTACGTAGCGAAAGGAGCGGAGCTATCGGACGCACATGTTGAATAACTTTATTGACCTTATTCTAAAATGCGGAAGTGCGCCTGTTTTCGCGATTGTCTTAGAACTTCCGATTCAGTCGCCTATGGGAGAAATGACTAGGAATAATAAACGGCAGAAAATGGCCAAACTACTTGCTCAACAAACAAATGTTTGCATGACTATACAGACCAAGTAGAATAATATAATAAGAAAATATTAAATTGCAACATCAAGCAGCGTAATGAGCAGTTGTTAACGTCAAAAAATGAATGAAAGTGAATGTGACCGGAAGTCGCGAGACAAAAAGATTCAAATGGCAGCGCCCGCTCGACAGCTGAGAATAAGGTGAATATTGGATGGTGAAAGCAAAATTCTCCTATGAGAGTGATTATAGAGCCTCCCGATGGTGAATGTGGCAATACTCACGGCAGGTATTATTTGATAATTCGGTTGTTTATTTCACCGATTTGGCAACCGTCAAACGTCATCAGGGAAACGGTTTGAATTTCCACTTAGTAAAAAAACATTAGTGTGCCATTTGGGACGACACTACATACATATACTATCCTGTTGAGTGTGTAAAGCGAACAACTGCTGTCAGTCGGTTCACAAAATGAGACGCAAACCGTGAAGAGACAAATGATTTAATAGTTTACAAAGTTAAAATGCAAAAAAATAAACAGTGATTTAATGCCCTGCTACATTTGTTATTCGTAATTTCATATACACATAACCACAATTTATATCATTATAAAGATAAGTGTGTTCATGTAAACACTATAAATGAGGATTCTCCCTCAATCTCCGGGTCTGAATGCAGACTCAGTGCAGCAGCTCTCTTGCCCTGCCTATTTTAACTATTAGCCCTGTTGGTAGAGGTGTGAACCTACACTAGTCTCACGGTTCGGTTACGATTATCATGCCATCGATTCGGTTCAAATCGATATCTCGGTGCATCACGGTGGATTGAAGATGCTTTCCATACACAGTTTTATATTTTCTTCACAGCAGCAGTTCTTGTAGTAAAATGTATGAATATATTTATTTTTATATATTATTTGTAATACAATTTTGTCGTTTAATACAAACAGTCAGATATGTAAACTGTACCTTTAAACAAAACGAGCATTTAGCAAATAATATAAACAAATATAAACATCCAGCTCACTTTCATCCTTGTCTAGTTCTCTTACACCCCTTTGATTGGTCACACCCTCAACAAAAACGGTTGCGATTGGCTCTTGCGCGCTGCGCTCTTCAGATGAGTGATGCTGATAAGCGGCAGGCGGCAGCGGCGATCTCACAGCTGATGTATGATAGACATGGTGGAGAACTCTGCAGACACGCGCTCGATTCTGTATCCAAAAGTAACGCTGTAAAACAGCCGAGAGGAGAAGAAAAGCCACGCCAGCTGGTCCATCGCTCCACAGAAACCTTTTATCAACGCTTACATTTTAAACAAGTGGCAAAAGGAATGGGATGCATTAAAAAACAATAAATTACATGAAATCCAACCTGAAATTTCACACAGAATTTTAAGACATTTTAAGAATCGATTTGATCAAGTCGTTTTACCAGATGTCGTATTGGGCATATGAGAATTACACATGGTTTTTTGCTCCAAGGTGAAAACCCTACTCAGTGTTTGTGCTGCAAAACTCCTCTTACTACAAAACACATTTTACTGGACTGTCCTGCTTTTACTGATTCCAGAAGCCTTTTTTATGTAATGAACTCTTTGAAGGACATTTTTAACAAAGTGAAACCAGAAAAGATTTTAGAATTTTTATCATGTATTAACACAAAAAATCTTATTTAATTGATGTTTTATTTTGTTTGTTGATTTTTAAATTGTATATTTATTGTTGAAAGATTCCTGCCATTAAAATAGCCTTGGTTGCTGACATGGCATTAAATTAAAAAAATACATAATGCATCTGTGTGGAGCTATGGTATGTATTTACATATAATAACAATAAAGATTTCCCTTAAAATATTTTCAGGAAATTCTGTGTGTTCTGCTATTCGTGCTGCACAGCAAACACGAGCAGTCTGATTTCCACCTATTTCAGCCTCCAGTGTCCTGACTTCAGTTGAGCAGCACATCAAACTCCTGTGTTTTCTGTGCGTTTCTGCTCCAGATCCGTCACTTCTGAGTGTCGTTCCCTCATAAGGGAGCTTCCCGTGTAGATGCTAAGAGTCTGACAGGATGCTGCATCTTCAGCTCCCGCAGCTGCTTTCTCATTGTGATTAGCCGTGCTGGAGCTCATAGAGGATCAGCTTTAATATATCAGGATAATCTCAGCTTTTATTCTGCACTAATGCTCCAGACTCGCTCTGGTTGTTCTCTGTGGAGGCGTTCGTCTGACAGTTCAGCGTTTGGTGCATCTGAATATTCAGATAATATTCTAAAAGAAAGCGAGATATTCATACGCAAATATCTCTAAAAGCGAACACCTTTCAGAGGTTTGATTTGGAGTTCATGGATTCATATTTTGGATCTGGGACTAGGGGATATTGAGG